GTTAAAGCTCCCCCAGGTAGCTTTTTTTTTTTTTTTCCCAGTTGTTCATTTTTATGGTCCTTTGTCTGTCTGGGCAAAGTGTCATGTAGAAGGGTGGTGTGTCTGAATGTCTGAGCTGAGAGCTGATCTGCTCACCTATTTTGTCTTAAGCTATATGCTGCACTGGAGAAACTGTGGGAGTTCCATGGTAATGGAATAAGCAACAGGTGCTGGGCAAGCATTTAAATACCTTGTGGGATGAGGGCCTCTGGTGCACAGTAGTGGTTGGTTGGATTCTGGGCTTACAGGTTTTCCTGAGTGCTGAGCCCCTGCCCAGAATACTTCTTCCATGAGCCAAGATCTGCAGAGTCAGCTGTGTATGTGCTGGCTGGCTGCTTGAAATATTTGGGAAATTCTTTCCTAAGTGAAAGAAGGGTTTAATGTCTGATAGGGATATATCTCTCCAGCAGGTAAGGCATAATGCTTTTTTACATTTTTTATTACTGTTATTTTTTTAATTAAAGTATTAGTTTTTGCATGATAAAGGATAAAGCTGTCAGTCCTGTCTTGGCTTCTCAGGTGAACGGCAGTCTCATAGGATTCACAGAATTTTATGAGGTTTAGCTTTTTCTTGCTTCTTTGAGTTCAGGTGTGTGTGAGAGAGGAAGATTTGAGAGATGCAGTGGAAGACACAGTCTTTGGTCTTAGATACCGGAATGTTCATTTAGGTTTAAAATAATGTTGGCATTTACCCTTGGCAGAGAAAGGTATTATAATTGTGGTAGCAGACAAAAGACATTGTTATAGAAGAAAATATAGCTTTTCCAAAAACCTGAAGCAGATGACATATTAAAAGAGATGCCTGTGTCCTGATTGTATTTTTTATTTTTCTGCCATCTGTTTGTTGATGCCAGAGTCATTTTCCTGAGATTCTTTTTACATTCAGTATAGTTAGATAGGCAGTTGCAGCTCAGCTGACCTGTTTTGAATATCTATTTTAAGACAAATTGAAGCACAGTTAGAGAGCCAATTTCTCTGCCATACATGGACTCTCCAGAGCTCTGATGTATGTGTGCATTCAGTTATGAATCCCACCCAGTTCACCCTTCGTGATAAATGTAACATTGGAAAATAGTGGGTGGTACATTAAAATTAATAGGAATCTTCACAAGATAATATCCTGCAGAATTATTTTTCTGATGAACTTGTTCTTACATTCTTTGTCAGAGCCTCTGGGACTCAGATTTCCATTTAAAACACGTGACTTCATTTGGTTTCCTTTATTTAATAATTATTTTAACAGCATGAGTTTTCTTGTTCTTCAAAGAAAAAAAAATCTAAAATTATATCAGGATGTAAGATTTTAATGCTATTATTTAACTTAATATGTAAAGAAGCAAGGTACTGTTATCTCAGATGTAATGAGTTTCTGTACTGACTGGCAGTAATGATGTCTTCTACTTGCATTTGGTGGTAGTATTTTTTTAATATCTTGCAAAAGAAAAAATGGTGAAAATTTACAGTTTATAAGTCTTGACAAAGACTTTCTAGGGTTGGAATAATTAATTAATTCTTTTACATAAGGTCCTTTACAGAGTTTATTTTTGGTAGGAGTAGATGAAAATAGACAATAAAATGTCACACTCTATTTTCATCATTGGTGTTAGCTAGCATTACAATAAATTGAAACGTCTATAAATAACTATTACACTGTGCTTTTTACATACATTTTCAAGTATAATATTTTATAATATGAGTGACACTTGTCACCTTACTTGGTGTAAACAAAGTATATTGTGTAGGTGGAATGGGGAAAGAGCTAGGCCTGTACTTGAGTAGGAAAGTAGCTATTTTCATAGGAGGCTTGGATAGAACCAGTGATAAAGAGGAAAAGCTGAGACTTTTCTACTCTTATTATGAAAGATAACAGTATAAAAGTTTTGGTTCATCTAAATATTTTTATAGAGAAAAATTCATTCTTAAAAATCTTGACTGCAACTTGGGTGAAAAAAAATAATACTAAATCCCCACAAACTACCAAACAAGTATAAACAAAAAGATAAGTATATATCCATGGAAATTTATATGAATATGCTTGTTCCCTGCCTCTCTCTTAGTGTGATATTTTTCTAATAAATAATGCTTTCTAGAGAAATCCAGGCTGACTTTCGAGCAAATTACTTTTCTTGTGGTTTATTCCATTACTTCTTTATTTCTTCCTCAACAGTTTATAGCAGTGCATGAGTTCAGTTGCCTACAATTCCAGATGACTTTGTGAATGTGCAATTGGATCTTTCCTCCTTGCATTGGCCCTGAGATTTTGCAATTTCTTGTGGAGGAAATGGTGTGTTTCCCTTTTTTCCCCTGCCAGACCCACAGTATGCCTGGTTTGTTGCACATGCTGAACCTTCTAACCACTTTTGTGTTTGCCTGAGCCACTCCATCTTGTTCCAGCATCCCTTCCTGTATTTTCTTCCCACTCACATTGAAATGCTTTTCCTACCTGTTATGTTTGCAGTTGTTGTTCAGACCTTCCCTTCTCTATTCTGTTTTTCCACTCCACTGATACAATTATCACCAAGCTCACTAACTTTCTTTTTAACAATAGTAGACAATGTTATCGCTTGTTCTGCTTGATCTCTTAGAAGTGATTACTTATTGTTGCCTTGCTTATGTTAGTGTGGTGACCCAGCATCTCCCTCATATATTGGCCCATGTTGTGTCCATTCCTGTGGACAGAGTAACCCTGGTGTTACTCTGAATCTTAGTGGATTCTGGCACTGGGTATGCTACTGAAGTCTGGGAGAATCTTACGAATGCCTTTAGCATGCAGTTTCTGAAACAGTCTTTGCTCTGTAGGTATGCAGTTAAATGCTCATTCAGGTTGATCTCGTTGTGCTCCTGTTTTTTATCTCTATTCATAAATATAGCTGAACCTTGCTTATATTCATATAATTGTTGATACCATTTTCCTGTTTTTTGCCATGCCACTTCTTTCTCTTTACTCCTGCCTTGACACTCTGTTCTTTGTCAAGTCACATAAGCCACATAAGGCAACACACATTGTAGCATAGAGATATTTTTTTTTATTCTGTTCAACTGCTAGGTATCCAGATAAGTGTTTTCCCATTAATTCAATTTCTTTCCCTTTCTGCAAGAGTAACATGCCATCCTTTTGGTTGAGTGACAGAAGATATTTTGTGTGGGATTTTGAAAGAGTGGGAAACATGAAACCTGTAAAAATTTGAACAAGCTAACTTTGTTTGACTGTACATATTAACAGAAAGCACACATTCAATAACCAATTTATCGCCCACCCCAAAACACCCTCATTTCTTCATCAGCATGTTTAAATCCAGGTGCTGCCATTTCATCTGCTGTTTTTAGACTTGTTGGCTTACAGAGAATCTTTGTTCTAGATGCAGCATTGTTAGTAACAGTTAATTGTGCAGAAGTTAGATATTTTTATTGATAAGGAAAAGTTAAAATGATTTGAATGCATTGGAGTTCCTTGGAGATAATGAGTCAGGATATGAGGGTTTGTTTGTATTGTGTCCAGCCTCACCCTTCTTCAAACTAGCTCCTGCTTTGTGTGTTTCCTGTTTCATGCCAGAGCTGTTGAATATACTCTGTACCTCAGTGCAGCCCTTGTACTGCAAGTACGCTTGGAGCACTGCAACCCCCTTAACAAGCTTCCTGACAGGAGGTAAAGGTCTTTAGCCACTAATTCAGAGTGGGAATTGCAGCAAATACAAGAAATTTACTTCTCAGTGGCAACTCATAAAAAAGAATATTCATTCTAGTATACTCTTAAAGTCCCTGAGTATACAGGGACTTTAAGGAAGTTTACAGGAAATATTAAAAATCTCTTGAATCTTTCCAGATTAGATTGTGTATTTTCAGAATGGAATACAATGTAGCTTCTTACTTTTTTTTTTTTTAATCCATAGCTGCTTATTGTTTGGTATTTGTTGGAAACTAGGCTCATAATCTTTAGCAAGTAAATGTTCCTGCACTGGTAAGGGGGTGTAATACAGAATACATGAAAAATGAGTTGATAGGGTAAGGGTGGGGCATACATTCCTTCTCCACCCATTATAAATTTGCTCCAGCATTTCTTGTATGGTGATATCAAAATAGAAATTGCAACAGTTTCTCTTGGATTTTGAACTTCAGCAGAGTCCTCCTGTGTGGCATGAGTTGATATTAGTCACTGTTCAGAAGCCAGTTTGTGGGAATGTTCAGTTACTCTCCTTATATTGTCGTGTGTTTTGGATGGCAGCATGCTTTCTTTCAGTGTGTCCTTCATAAACTAGACGGTTACCTGTAGTTGTCCTCTTGTCAGGATTATTAAAACCACAGCATGTTTGGCAAGGGTGGACTTTTCTGTCCCTAGGCTTTAAAACTTGCTTCTTGCATTCTTTTAATATGACTTACTGTTTTGGTTATTCTCTCAATTTCCATTTTCTAGCTATTACTGAAATATGATAAATGGTCACTGAATGGCAAATAGGTATTCAAGATCCTTACTGTCTGATTTTAAGCATTTTCCCTGTTACAGGGAAGAACTGAACACATAAAAGCTCTAAACTTCAGAAACTAGAAGTAATCCTCATTATTACTAAAATTACGTATTTTAATGTAATGATACAGAGAGAAAGAGACAATCCTATTTTTCCCCCAAGTCTTGCAGTTTTTGCTGTTACTGAATATTGTGGTAAATTTTGGCAGTCAAAGATCAAGTTGCTTTGAGTGGCAAAATCTTTTCAGAAATGAGTGTTTCTTCCTTCAGCAACCACTTACAGGTATTTCATATCCTTTGGCAGTTATTTGTATAAACATTGTTGCATTGTTTGCATATAAATATGAGGAGTTTAAAACATAGAATCACTCATCGTTATTGTGAAAAAGCAGTTGCTTTCCATCTCATACTACTCCTGTTCTTCCTCACCACTAGAGAAATGGTAATAGCAAAATTGTTCCTACATGGCCCAAACTGTTATGTTCTGCTGGCTTGTAATGTCATGTTTGTCTGTCTGTTCCTAGCAGTTATGTCCCCTCAGAGGATAATGAGGTGCCTTTGCCATGCAGTTGCCCCCACTTTGCCTGCAAATGCTTTGCCCCATGACGTGGATAGGAATGCTTTAGCAGCAAAGGGCACCTGCTTGCCACTGCAAGTAAGGGAGGCAGCTTAGCAAACATTAAATACCTATGGCTACAAAAAGTTAAGTAAGAAAGTTAGCCTGCCTTATGTGTGGTCAAGATTAGTAAACACAACTCGTTGGAAACCAAGAGGTCTGAGCACAGGAGATTTGTTTTTGTTGAACAAAGAAGAGGTGCATGCACCCCTGAAAATTCACTTGAGTGCCATATATGGACTTGTGCAGTATTTCTTTTCCCACAGCAAACAGAAGAGAAAAATAACTGTGGAAAATACAGTATTTGAAGAGCTAATGGGTTGTGTCATTTAAGTTCTTTGTACCAGTGTAATTTCTCCTTTGTAGAAGGAGTAAAAAATCTCCTTTCCCCAGCCTAATTCTTCACTTAATGATTCTGGTGTGTGGTGGATGCTGCAGTCAGACTGTAATGCACAATAGCCCTGGGTATCAAGATCTCTCTGCTGGGTGGGATTAGCTGTGTGTGCACAGGCTCAGACTGTTCACAACTCCTGTGAGGTCTTGCTGCATTGGGCAAGGTGAGAGGTGATTTATGACTCTGTGCCGGTGCACACCCTTCCCCAGGTGTGACTGTCAGAGGCTGGGTCAGACTTCCGTGTTGAGACACTTGTGGGGAGCTACCACTTCACTCCTAAGAGCAGGGGCAGAAGAGACGGAGCCTTGTTAATGTGAGGAGCGTCAAGGAGGGTCTTTCAGCCCACTGACTTAGTCTGAAATATGTTCGTGGGGCTTTTGAGCAAAAGCTGGCTACTGTCAGAGCTGGTCTGAGGAGCAACATAAACCTTCTAGTAGTTATTAGACAGATGGTCTCGTCCCTCCTCCACCCTATCTGTGCAACTCAAAGCTGTTGCACTAAGGACAAGTATTCAGTCTCTCCAGAATTCCCTGGCTGAGCATGTGAGTGAGGAAAAATGGTATCCTGCTTTGTGGAGACTTTACTCTGCTCTCCCCAAAAATACAGCCTCCAAGGGAATGACTTCCTATTGCCTGTGAGACTAAAGCATCATTTCGTGTCTATCTGGGATAACTGCAGCAATGTCAGTAAACGAAGAGGAAAGCTATGAATATGACTGGGAAAAGGAAAAGGAGAGGGAATGCACTTTTAACAGGCAGAGCCTTGATATCTTGGAAGAAGGTACTTTTCAACTTTTGTTTTTAATCTTTCATGGTAGTAGCATGGCAACATAAAACTGATTTGAGTGATGTTTGTGGATTACATAGACAAAATTTTGTGATTTACATGTGTAGCCAGTACATTTGAATGAAGTATTCGTGTAATATCTAAATAAGATAAATCTTAGTTGATGTATACTTATTTAAAGAAGAAAGGCATGATCATCAGATGTAGGCTGTGTAATACCTGTTTCATAATGAAACAGAAACTGGGAAATTTTCTCTCTCTGGAATTGTAGTGCATTTTTTATATGCACACAATGTGTGTGTCTTATGAAACTGTATATTTTAGGTTGTCATTCCCAGCAGGTGCTTCTAGAACAGAGCAGCAATTTTGTGCTTATCCATGAATTTGAAAGCACATAGACAGAAATAATCCAAGTGTGGGATCTTATGATTTAAATTTTCAATATAGAAACCAACCCAAAAATGTTGTCATACTTTCTGGAAATAATGGGCAACTGGCCTGTTCAGATGGAAATGGGAATGTACACGCATTGAAAATCCTCCTGTGCACCTGCTGTATAGAGTGGGTACCTATTCTAGGGCTGGTTCTAGCCAATCTGGTAACCTGTTTCAGGTAGCAAAAGCTGAATGCTCCATTCCTGTTAATTTCATGTGCTGTAAATTTTGCTCTGAAGCAGTAGTTTTATGGCAGAGAATTGTTACTTTCAAATGTAAAGCTGATGTAAGGATGCTTTGAAGGATTGTTAGCACAGAAAATGTGATGTGCTGTGAATTTACATCCTTGATCACCTCATAGTTAACAGTTCCTTTGTCCAGAGTTCTTGGTGAATGAACTAGGCTCTTTGAATGCCATTGAATAAGATTTTCCTGTAAAAACTCCCTCACAATCAAATATCCCATCTGGTTTTCAAATTTGTGTGTCTGTGCAAAAAAGAAAGGTGCTGAAGAAAATATTGGTAAAAAGAAAATTTAAAACTGGGGATTAGGATGGAGAAGCTTATCAAGAGAGGCCAGCTGACATTTTTTTATATTTTATTCCTACATTTTTCACAATTAAATTATTATTGCTGAAGCATACATCATGATGTTCTTATTCTTTCTGCTGACTTTAGCTTTCATCCAGATCTAACAATCTGAAGCTGTTCTTATTGATTTTGAGAGGGGAGAAAAGAAAATGTTGAGTGCTATTTGGGATAAATTTAGCCCAGTCTTTCTACAGTGCCTCCCTCTCAAAAGCTCATTATGTGTTTGAAATGTCTTCTAAAGATGCCTTTTCTTCTCCACCTATGTGTTCATGTCACCTACACACTCAGTTTAGCAGAGATACAGATACATAGAAGTACCACATACAGGTTTTGTGTATCTTTGCACGTGGGAGTGCTTGCAAAGGGTAGTATTTCTCTAGGAGAATGGGTGAGTCAATCCATTCTGTAAGTAAAACAGATGGAAATACCAGCATGTAGCCTTTTCATCCTGAACAAAAGAAACATTTTAGCTATATGTGACTGTAAATCTGGTACCAGAAATGGGAAATCAGAGGATATGCTTCACTTCAACCATTTATAGTTATTGAAAAGAAGAAGATAAAAATTGTATCATTGAGACTCCTTAACTGTTTGTCCTGTTCCTTGTGCAGGATGTGTACTCACTTCTTGACTATTATTTCCATAGTCATTTTGATGTAGTGTCCTGATATTTAGATGCTGTAACTCCCCTTAGTCCTGTTTCTGGAGCCTGTCACAGAACTAATGTTACACCTGGCAGCATTACAGTCAGCTCTCTCGATGAGAGTGGAAGGCACCTTCATAAGGGTCTGGGCAGAACAGTCCTAGAGTCACTGCATTGTGTTGAAATTGTAAAGTTGCCTGACAGCAGTATATTTACTTTTCATTTGATAAGTTGGCCTTGGGGCTGACTGCAGTGAAACTTTGCTCAGGGATATCTGTTGACAGTGTCTACTCAGATTTTCTTCATAAAGGAACTTGAGCTGTAAAAGGACAACCTGACAGCTTCCTTTGATCAGTGGCTTGTTGGGTCAGCTGATCCTGAAAGGAACTATGTTTTGATTTTTGCTTTTGCAGCTGGGACAGGAAAAGACCTACATAGGACACATGATGGCAGCTATTTCCATTTACTAATGTACAAGTTTAAAAGTCCTGTTGTCTCGGTTTGAAAGACAGGTATGGTCTAAGGAAAGGCAGGAGCCCCTTTTTCTGCGATGCAGAGTGCAATCCCCCTCCCTTTTAATTATTTTAGGTCCAATTCAGACACCTTCAGGCAGGAGATATGGGGATGAGAATAACAGTTCTTTACTGGTATTTAACAAAGCAGAAAAAAACAACAACAGCTATAAAAATTGGCAACAGAAACAGTCTAGCTCCGCTCCAGTCCCTTCTGGCCGCAGGCCGTCTCCCTGTGCTGTTACCGGTGCTGTGGGGGCAGGGCAGGTCCCGCGCAGTTGAAGAGGGCTGGGTGATGGCGGCCGCGGCCCAGGGGAGAGAGAGGATGGGGAAAGTTACTCCCCCCTCACGGTGTCGGTCGTGGTGCTCAGCAGAGTGTCCGGAGGTAGTAGGGTGAGCTGGGAGAGCCGCGGAGCGATGTCCAAAGGCAGGGAGCGTGGATCTCAGCGCTGGGATGACAGGGGAAGATGCCAGAGCAGAGCCCAGGTTGTCTTCCCACTCCAGGAGCCAAGCGAGAGAGCGTCCCCCACTCCAGACCCCCCTATCCCACCTTTCCTTTTCCGGTTCCCCCCCCCTCCCCCTCCAGCCACCCCCCTACGAGAGAACATTATCTGTCGTTTTAAGGTGTAGCCACAATTAATTAGCATAACAATGGGAGAAATTCCACAGAAAGAAAAGCGAAGCATTCAACCCCCAACACCTGTTTATCTAAAGTACTTAGTAAATGCAGGCAAAGAATCCGTTTCAAGTTGAATTTAAAAAAAAATAAGTCTTGGGGTTTGACTTTCAGAAAGTGTAAAATACAATAGGATGGAGTCCATTCAGGGCTCTGGAATCTGTGAATGCTAGAGCAAAAAAGATGGAGAGGAGTCACATTCTTGAAAGCTTTGGCACAACCATTCCCTCCCAAAGAGTGGGAATAGGAAAAGATCACATATTTAAGAAAGGAGACAGCTGACAACGTATGGCTTACAGGCTTGTAACTTCATTTTAGGATTTTAAAAGATGTACGGTTCAGATCCTGGTTTAAATCTTCCACCCATTTATTAGTTACATTGACTGCAGTCTAGACATTGCTTGACAAGAAATTAATGGAAGAGAATGTCAAGACAGTCACTCAGTGGCAGTAGTAAATAATCCTGCAAAGCAAAAAGTTCTACTTTTCAAGAGAAGAGCTATCCTGAGCTGTGTCTGTAAATGATGTATGCATTAAGGCAATTAAGAGAATTAAGGTGTTCTCTCCAGAGACTTTCTTATTTTCTTAGTTTCACTTTGTGTCTGTATTTGCCAAGTTACCACTTTTGATCTGGTTATGCTAATAGAAAGAACAAGTGCCTAATGCTCTTTTTGAAATTTCTTTTAACTTGATTTTTCATTCATCACTCGAAAATTTGATGCAGCTCATGTCCTACTTAGAGGAAGTACTTTGAAATTACTCCCTGCCTGAGGTTTCAGGCAGAGGCTTTAGAAAAGAAGTAAAAGCAGTGGTTTGTTGTTTTTTGGGGTTTTCTTTAATGAACCTGAGTTTAAGTAATAACAGAGGTTCCTACGTGAGGCTTTAATATTGGACTTGCTAGGCTATTTGAATACCCTATGAGATGGCAGTAAACAAACACTCCTTGAACCATAGCCTTAAACAGCAAGATAAAATCTCTTCTTCCAGAAGAATCAGTACCTGCAGCTTAATATGAAAAGATTATTTTGCAAACTGTGCCATTGAAATTACAATAAGCCATGCTATAGCGTTTGAAGAAGACAAAAACCGAATCTATTGGATTGTCTGTTGAACTTCCTGACTATGTATCTCTCACAACATTATTCCAGACTTCCAGACTCCTGCACAGAGCCCACAGTATGACCTGACAGATGTGAAGCAGTAGATGTGCTGTGACCACTCCTTATCCCTCTAACCAGGGTCATGCCACTGCTGACCTCCCTGTCTGCCTTCTGGAGCGACTGCCCTACTCTCTGCTTTGGGAGTGCTGGGGGATCTGCTGGGTTGTTTTGTTAGGATTTGGATTTCTAGCAAGTTGTGACTCAGAAACACATTCTTCAAGCTCTGGTGACAGTATATATTATAATTTTTAGGCTCTTTAGATGGGTGTATTCTCTTAGGGCTGTCTCAAACGTGGCAGGCAATGGCAGATCTGAAGCCTCTGTCCCAGTTTAGCCAGGGCTGGCAAAAACACCTCTGCACTGGAGAAGCTACCATGTTTATCTTTAACTCTGGAAAATCAGTAACAGCTGACAGCACATTTGACGTGTAATTTTCCTGAGTTTATTTGACAGGTGATATACCTAATATGGCACAGTTTCAGAATTCCGCATGTGCTTGGTTCAAGTTGATGTAGTGAGCACAGTAACCTGTGCCAGAGCATAGCTATCAGTGGCTCTGGAACTAAAGCTGTGATTTTTAGTGGGTGCTTTATCCTTGGAGTATAAATAATAGTGTTTGAGGTGTTAATCCATTGAGAGCTGAGGAGTCCAAGTCTGCCAGAGTCTTCAATGGCTAACATTTCCCAAGTGGCAGAAGGGAGCACGGCTGCTCAGTCAGATTTGCCATGTGTGTTCTGTGTGGCTTCGTGTGCAACCTTCAGGATGCGATGCCCTTGCCATTGTATCTTTGGTGTTTGTTCAGAGCTGTGAGCAGAGGGGAACAAGACAGAAGCTATTTGTGAGGCAAGGCTTGTCATGACTGAGCCAGAATATAGCAGGCCTTGCCATAGTTAAAGGCTATGTTATGAAATAAAGCATTGGCCCCTCCCACCACCTTGCCAATAAGAAGCATGGGTATTTAAATGGCAAGAGATCTGTGCTCTATGGACAGTATTCATTTCCCGTGATGGAGTTTCTGATTAAGTAAATTTTGGTAGTAGGGAAATCCTCATGCACTAGGGACTTCCCTGTTAACTCTGTAATGATACAGGTCAATATTATCTGCCTCAAAAGTGAAACTTTATGGTGTCATGTTAGCCCTCTTATGTTTCCCAGATGTGAAGAGGGGCAGTGGGAGCTGGGCTTTCCTGTTCAGCAGCTGCAGCTCTCTTCTATTTCATTAGCTTATCCTTGGTTGATAGGTCTCAAAAATGAAGAGGGAATATATGTTGAGGGATGCAGGGAACAGGAACTGAGGATACCTGTGACTGCTGGCACTAGTGATCTATTTTTTTCCTTCCTTTTATTTGAATCCTTTGTTTGGTGGCTCATTGAAGAAGCTGCCAGTAGTGATACTTCTGTCCCCCTTCTCTTCTATGCTTGTCTCCTGTTCCTGCAAACATCCTTTACTCTAAGTAGCATACTTGATGAATAGGTGACTTTCAGGGAGCAATCCAGGAAAGTGCATGTGTTCCTCCATGTCCTGGTACATCTTCAGCTTGGGAATCAGTGCTCCATTAGTTAGATGACAAGAAACAAATGCAGGGTAATCTTTTCAGCTGTACTTTGGGAAACACAGGAATGTGGTTACCAGTAAATTTGCAGGCTTTATGATGGTATAAAGATAGTGCTAGGTACTTTAAGGCAGAGGAAATGTTTGATTTGTGTAGTGTTTGTCCATTTACATGTTTGGCTTTAAATAAAAACCCCAAATACTTTGAACTGCAAATGTGTCCCTAGTACCACGTATTTAGTGCTGTCATGAAAATAATGTGAAGGGAGCTTTTTCTGTTCTCTGTTTCCTGTTTTGGATATGTGACATTAGCTTCAAAGCACTTAAAAAATATGTGAGTTTTTCTAAATTATTCTTTCTTTCTCTATTGTCTATCAACCTTCTCCATAAGCTGAGAAGTGCAAAGTATATTTGATTTGGCTGTTTGCATGCATCCATGCATTTAGACACAGTGCTTCCTGTCACCCTCAAGCAAAAAACTACTGATGTGTGAGTGAGCAAAAAGAGGTCAGTAATTTGGCACTGTAGGTTTTGCATTAGAAGGCACTGTCCTTCATTTGCTCTTGTTTTATCTTTACAGCAACATTACCAGGCTCTCACGCTCATCAGAAACTCCAGCAGGCTAGAAACCTACTATGCAGGGTCTGTTACATATGTGGTGTGTGGTATTTTTTCACTGATCACACCTCTAAATGGTTTTTCAAAATAGTCTCTCTTTTTCACTGGTAGATTTTTTGATCACTAAAGAAAAAAAACCTGCTGTATTGGGAATTGGCCAAGTGTTACCTCGTAGTCTGTGGAGGCTGAATAACTAGATATTTAGATACTTTTTAGGATTTTTTTTTTTTAATTATGCTTCTGAATTCCATTCTCCTCTTACTTTTTACCTTCTCTTCCCTGCAAGCCTTGATTTCTGAGTAATTGAAAGCAACATCTCTTTGCAAGTTTGCCCTCCTTCCGAAAGGAAATCTTTCATTTTAGTTAGTAGCTCTGTGTTTCCACAGTATTGTATGTAATAGTAGTAGTAATATGGACAGTAGTTGACTGATGGATTTTATTATATGCAGTCTACTGAAATTTATTTCCACTTGGATGAAGAGAATGCATAAAAGGACACTTCTGCATTGAAATCCTTTTACACTTGGCAGAGAAGTGTATGAAGATCTCTGTTTTGACAATCACCAACAGATCTTTGGTGGAAATTTCTAGATATAAAAGCTATCAGTGACCAGATTCTACTTTGCTGTTGGTAATGTCTGTTGTTATAATGCTGTGGTATTGCCTTGTCAGGTTAAGGTTTAAATGGCAAGTTCTGAAGAAATAACCAAGGGAGTATCCACACAAATCAACTTTTATCAGTCTCCCAGCTGAGTGACTTCATTCTGTCTGTGGGAACACTATCCTTTTATCAGCCTGGCTGTTAGGAAGGTTATATATTTACCTGAATTAGGATGGTGTGAGATTGCCGTAGTCCTGCTCATTGGTGATGGCTAGTGCTAGGTGCAGAGTTGAAACGAGCTTCCTAATGACAATGTCAAATATTATTTTATAGTAGTGATGGAATGTTGTAACCAAGGGAACTATTTAGTGTGCAGTTGTATTGGAAACCTACTGGCGTCAGGGTTTCTGATAGATGTTTTATGGCATGACTTATTAACTTACTATATTTAAAACTAAATTGAGTTTATGGTGATGTCAGTTTGTGTGTGTGTGTATGAATAGTCTTCTGAACATTACACCTTCTGTCTTAATGTGACGTTTTTATTGAAAATTTCTGTTAAACTCCTTTTTTAAATTATAGCAAATGCTCTGCAAGTTACTGCATTTTTTTTCTGTCAAATCCTTATTAGTCTGCTTTTGGGTAATACAGCTTGTAGTTTACAGATGTACTGTATTTTTACTTCTGCAGTGGTAGAGTTATTTTTTCTATTGATATGTCATTTTGTCAGGTTATTACTTGAAGCATAAACTTTTTACTGTTACCTCTTTCAGACTTACTATTTGGATAATTGCAGTTATATTTTGAATACTTTTGTACAGCATTCTTTGGAGTTCACTGGCACTACTGATGTCAATAAATATTATAAATGTTTTTAGGATGTCATCTACAGAAGCAGAATTTTGAGAAATGGGAAAATAAATGAAATTGATTTCTTGCCATAATTTAAGCAATTTTCTGATGTTTAGGTAGGGAAAAATATTCTCCAACATTTCAACAGACATCTAAGTACTATTGTATTTGATGTATTATCATCGTGTCTTAGTGGCGATCAGCTGAATATTTATATATACGCAGATTATATATTTATGAATTAGCTAGTATTGTTTCCTTAGTGTGACAAACTGTCTCCTACCAATATTACTGTGCAGTTCTGCTTTTTTTTCCCTCTCTTCACTATATAAATCCTATTAGCCCTGATCTGTCTCTTCCCCTGCCTTAGTGTGCACTAGAACAACATTAGCTTATCTCCCAGACGGAGCCTTAAGTGACATTGCCAAGGATAAATCCCCTGAATAACAGTTCAGGGTACAGCGGCCTAATAACTTGTAGTCCATGTGATCCACTGAATTTCATTAACAGTCCTTTTTTCCAGAATTACAGTGTTAGAGGGAAAAGTGTAGTTGATAAAAAAAAGAATAGAAGGGTAGAGCAGAAAGTGCTGTTAATGAATTTTTTGAAAACTCGTTGACTTATTAGTAAGTCAATGTAGCTTCGTAAAGGATCGCCTATGGTGGAAGACTGAACTTCTGCATACTTTGTTAATTCTGACAAAACTTCTGGTTCCTCCTTAGTGATTAACAATCTCAACTAGTCTGAGTAAGTATTTATTATGAGTGATACTGTGGTCACTGAGGTGTGGCTGGGTATTAAAAAAACCATTTCTTATTTTGTATGTATACTTTGCTGTCTTGTACTGTAAAACCCAGTTCTTATCAACTTAATATGACATAGTCTCTTTCTCATGAACAGTGCCCCTAACAGTACTGGAGTTGCTTATTCATGGAGTAATGGTACTGCATGTCATACAAGTAGGTGGCAAGATGGAATACTAATTATGTAACTATGAACATCTGTTTTGACTTCCTGATTATTTTTTTTAATAAAATCAAGATATTGTTCTTCAGAGAAGAAAGTTTTAACATTTTAAGTTTGTTCTGCCACTGACACAAGCAAGTGCTTAGTACAAGAGGAGCATTTGTATTACCAGTATCACATGAATCTTGGATTTTTTGAGGGCGGGTTTGGGGAGAGAGAGGGTTGAGTTTTGTTTGTTTGTTGTTTTGTTTGGTTTATGTTTTTTGCTCTTGATGTGCTCATCCAAAGATTGACATAAGCAGTTTTTTAGATGAAAATGTATGCACATCTCAACTTAGATATTTCTTGCAAAGGATGGGAGTTGAACTTCAGTCTTGTCTTCCAGCTCAGAATATTCAGTGATCCTCCCCCAATAGTACTGCCTATCTGATTAATGTTTTGCTTTATTTCTTTGCAGTTTTATGTGCTGAAAGAGTGGGCCAGATGACTAAAACATACAATGACATAGATGCTGTAACACGTCTTCTTGAAGAGGCAAGTATTCCATCTGCTTAAGGACCCGTACACAATGTGACAAAGTAGTACTGAAATTATGTGGTACCACTACTAAACATTGTTGGTAGATTGTCCTCCATTGTGGAGGAACAAGGGCTCTAAGTATATGTACACTTTATCTCATTGGTAAGGTAAATATTCTTTCTAAATGAAGGTAATTTGCTTACCTCAGTCAAATGGATTCCTTAAGTCTGGTTATTTTTCAGTTGAGGCCATGTAACTTGTTCTTGGCCAAATCTTTGCCCTAATGAAGGAGGAAGAGGAATCATCCTAAAATGACATATTTTTACAGTACATGTAAAATTAAGAGTATCCATTATTGGTGGACTTGTGCCTAATAATTTTCTTAGATAATTTCTTTCCAGAGAAGTACATAGACACAAAATTAGAAAATATCTAGTCCTCCGTTTGTTTTCTTTCCTTCTTTTCCTTATGTTTGGTTGATTTGGTGGTTGTTTGTGGGTTTTTTAATACCATTATTATGAAAATTGTTATTCCTGTAATCCTTTACACTCAAGAAATATCAAAAAACAACTATCACGTTACTATGCTTATAAATATCATCATAAATTGTTTGACTAAAATTAGCTGTTTTTCTGCAGTAAACTTGAGCAATGATTTTCCCAAAAATGCAGATGGTTAATTCTTTAGGTGAAAACTCTTACAATTGTATTAGTTCATGGCTGACTGCAATTTAGTCCTTTATACTCAATGGCTTGCTTATTGCAATAGCAATGTCGAAAATGGCGTCTTTCCAGCCAATTGGGTGGTCTGTTATTCCTCTAATTCTGCAAGGAAACAAGATGGGAATGAATGCCCATGTCTCCCACCTGTTCCGGATACCCCTCAATGCAGTACAGTCTTATATTTTGTGCTGTGAGCCAAACCCATTCAAACACCTTTGTACAAATTGCCTGGTAAAACTGATGTGATACCCAAAAGTCTTCTGGAATAATTAATCACTTTGTAGTTACAGTCAGTTAACTTGTTTGTGCCCTGCTCCCTATGCCTCGTTTGGCTGAGATTTACTGCATTTGGTCTGCAGCTCCTTCTAGTAATCATTCTGCCAAGCTGTTTCCTCCCCTCAGATCCAGGCATCACACTCATGGGAGCAATGCTTGAAGAGCTTGCTGAGCCAGTGTTTTAAAGCTTCTTGTGTACTTTTGTATCTGAATGTTTGGAAGGAAAAAATAAGGGAGTGTATAACAAGTCAAACTTTATTAAAACGCAGAATTCTAGTGAGCCTTTTTGTTTTATTTGACCATGATTTCCCAATGAAATCACTCTGTTCCTAAGGACAGGTGCACTTACAGCACCTTTCTCTCTTCTCTGTGTGATGGTTATCATAAGAGATTGGGTCCATTTGCAGAATTTAACTCCTGTTGTTTTCACACATACGAGTGAAGGAAAAAACAAAAGCTACCCCTTATCTGTCCATGCAAGCTTCAGGTGCTTGCATTACATCGTTGATAGAGTGAAAGGTGCAGCATTTGGGAAGATAGGAAAGAGAAGATCTTGAAGCACCATGTATGCGGTTATTTCAGAAATCTGTGCCTATAGCCCTGAAACTAATGAAAGGGAGTAGCACCAGGACTGCCTGGGTATTTGGTAAGAATTAGAGCAGATTTCTTTATGAATCTGCTTTCTCACTGTTTTCTAATAATTGTGTAAATGTGTCTTGCTTCTCAGTATTATTTTTTTACACATTGCTGTAATAAATCGGTTCCTTAGCATTGTGTAAGAGGCATGTCCCCAAACTGAGATTTAGAGCTGAATTGCTAAAAATTGTGTAGGAAGGCTGGGCAGGTTATTTGAAGAGCCTGGACATGCACTGACATTCCTCAAACTGGACGTTAAAAAACATTGTTGCTAGGTAGCTCCTCCTCTGTAGAGTCAAAACTGCAGCAATGTATTTTTACCAGCTAGTATTTATGAAGTTAACCAAATCAGTGAACAATAAGTTGGCTTAAAATATATCCAAATGTATTTTGGATAACTGTGGCACCTGAAAGATTGTACGTAAGATTACGTGAAGATTTTATGGCTAGATAATGCCAGTAGCTTTCAATGCAAATATAAGTCTGACCTTCAGAAACCATTTGGAAAATGCTGTTTGCAGATACTGCATTGATCAGTAACCTCTCTTTATTTACTGGTTATTATATGACTTTTTTTTCCCCCATTTTGAAAGCCTCTTCATTGAAATTTCATTGACATCGAATCCATGTGAACAGTAGCTGCAGGTTTTATAGGCTTTGTCATTAACATATGCATGACATAAGGTAGCATTTAGTTATAAAATCTGTGTGGTAGTCAGGGGCAGTAAGTAAGCTCTAAGCAGTATTTTCAGTGACAGGTAGAGAATTTGTCCTCAAATGATATTGAACTAAGAGTATGTTAGGGAGTTAACCACAGCACAATTTTACCACTATTTTAAAAATCTAGTAGTTAAATAAGAAAATGATAGAATTGCTTAATGAACAGCACAAAATTTTATGCAGATTATCATCCTCTCCCAGGCAGATTACAATCCCATGTACCAGCTTCTGCAAGGCTGAGACATGTATATGTACATGTCATAAACAGGATAAGCATCTATTTTTTATTGGTGACCTGTCAGGACAGGTGATTTCCAGTACTGTGCTCATAGAGGAGGAGGAGGAAGAGACCACGAGAATAACCACTTAATGTAGTTTGGGGCATCTACAAAAATGATAGAGTTAGGATTTGTTTTTATACAAAAGCACTAATGGTTAGCATACACAAAAAGAGGAGCTGAACATTTATTGTGTGTAACTGGTTTCTACTCCTGTATAGCTTATTGCCTTTTATTTGTAGGTGGAGCAAGTAGAAACTGAAGAATACTTTGAGAGAGGGTCAGTCTTTTCCTGAATAATGCTGTTGTAAGATACGCAAGAGTAGAAACAGAGAATCAGCAAAATCCCTGTAGCAAATAGACCCTCACAGAAGGAAAAATCTTTTTATTGTTGCTTGTTCTTTCCCTTTCGAGGCAATTTTACCTTCTCTCTGATCCTTTGGTGATCAAAAAAACCTAAATTGGAATTGGCTTTCTATTCTTAATGCTTCACAGAAAGAACGGGACTTAGAATTAGCTGCTCGGATTGGCCAGTCGCTGTTAAAGAAGAATAAATCACTGACAGAAAGAAATGATTTCCTGGAGGAGCAAGTAGAACACATAAGAGAAGAGGTAAGATTTTTATGCCTGACTGCTGTATATACAATGATGAGGGGAATTTCCTTCTGGCTTCCCCTTGTCCATACATTTGGCTGTGGGCAATCTGCTCCTGTGTCTGACCACCCTCACTACTAAAAATGTCTTCCTTATATGTAGTCTAAATCTGCTCTCCTTTGGTTTAAAACCATTACCCTTTATCCTGTCACAACAGACCCTGCTAAAAAGTCTGTCTCCCTCTTCCTTAAAAATCCCATTTAAGTACTGAAGTACTGAAAGGCTGCAATAAGGTCTCCCCAGAGCATTACCTTCTCCATGCTGAACAACCCCAATGCTCTCAGCCTTCCCTTATAGGAGAAGGGAATATTTTTATGGCCCTCCTCTGGACCTGCTTGAGCAGGTCCATGTCTATCTTGTCCTGAGGACTCCAGAGCTGGGTGCTCATCAGAGAACAGTTGAGGAGGAAAATCACTTCCCTCAGCCCGTTGGCCACGCCTGATGCAGCCCAGAGTATGGTTGGCTTTCTGGGCTGGTCACACACTGGTGTGATCAATAAAGTACACCAGAAAGCTTGTATTATTTCAAGTAGCACCTGTGCTTTAGAAGAGCTCTTTATCTGCAAGTACAACTGTCACTAAACTCCAACTTAATAAATGAGCTAGGAGCCAATATTGTTTCTCCTATTCTGAGGCAGTGACCTTGCATTTTGAATCTCACCCATACATGGTTTTGAGCAAGAGAACGGTGAACCACAGTAGAGGAAAAACTTTTAAAATGGTTCATTATTAACATTGCTCAGGGGTGTGATATGTTGCATTATAAACATCTCACATAAAGGATAAAGTGTGGATGGAGCAATCGATCATGTGTAATAAATGACAGTGGAGCACACACAGTGAAATAATATCCTTTGATGTGGCCTACCCTTTTTGGCATGGAAAACTAGTTCTGTTCTCTCCCAGAGTTCTGTTGCTTCCTGCCCAAGTCACATCATGAGGCAGACCAATTTATTTGTGTATTGTTCAATGACATGTGCTAGGTGGGTGCAAGGTGACTGAGCAAGACTGTGCATTCATATCATCCATCCAGAGTGGAAAATGTGATTGAGGAAGGTGGAGGACAGGGACAAGCTGCCTCTGTCCACGTCTGTTTTTATTTAGTGGGACTGAGGAGCAGCATTAGGAAAAGTGCCACCAGAAATAAGCTTCTTACCAGGTGGCTTGGTATGTTGGGCCATATGTACTGTCAACACACTTCTTTCACACTGTTATTTTGACTCCTTCAGAAATGGATGCATTTAAGGCACAGCTCATGAGACTTTAAAGTTATGATGTTATGATGTTGTTGTGTATTGAAAATCTGCCTTTAGTAGTTTGCAGATTTCCTATTAAAACTGAATTTTGAATATTTGAATATAATGGTAACTAAGACAACTGTCTTTAAGGGCAAGAAATAAGATAAAATAATTTATTTGATATTTCTAAAATTCTGTCCAAATTATCTAAAAATGGTTTGTCTGGGATACATGTGTTTTCTGTAATACAGGGACAAATTATTTCTGACTGGTAGTGTAAAATTAAGGTTTTATTGGTGTATGTATCATGGCATGAATAATTTAGCTTTATATCTCTTTGACCTTTGTCATGACAAAACCTCCTGTTCATCCCATTAAGCAGACTGAGTTTTTCCTGTGTACTGGTAACATGCCACGTTGATAGGTACGTGTCAAAGTTATAAAGACTTGTGCAAAGTGCATCAGATTCTTGGGTTTATCTTTTGAATTTTGTGTTGTTAGGCACTGTTAAGTTTAAGAAGGGGCTGTGATCATGTTCTGTAAAAACTGATACAACTGAGATTTTTGCTGTACTAGAGAGCACAAGGGTGAGTGGACTGAAGCAAGCACTTCAGTATGTGCACAGACACTTCTGTCTCAGCTTACTGAATTACTATTATATTCTGGAAGCATAAACATTATAATGAGGAAATGCTCTTACTTGTAAAGTATTTTGCTTACAGAGATGGGTGTCTGCCTTTTCAGCAGCTGAGTGTAGTTGCCAGGTACAGTGTCTATCTGCTGTTCAGTAAGAATGCTGCAGCTCCATGTTCCTCTTCTCTGGGATGGTGCTGCCTACACTTTGGTATTGTCTCCTTTGGCATTAGAGCTCAGAAATGAATATACTCAAAGAAATATAAACCATAAATCTGAACAATGTGAACTGAATTTGGAATGGAGTAGCTCACTAGGTTTAGCTTCTCCTAATCTTTCTACATTTCCCAGTTTCTGTTTTTTTTTTCCTCTACGTATTTTGTCCTATGTTTCTGAAGCTAAAATGGCAGCACTTCCAATGCAGTGTAAGTCCTCAGATAACACCACCTCAAGCCTATGTGAACTTCTGAGTAATACAGCCCTCTAGACCTGTTATTTGAGGTCACCTGTCAGAGTTTCTGTTTTGATGATAGCAGGTTTCAAAGTCCAGGTTTGATTTTGTTCTGTGTAATGTGAGAGGAAAGGAAAAATTTGAATTATAATCTGGAATGGTGGCTTTAAAAAGGGAACTTTGCTTTTGGTCTGTTAAGAGTAGAAAGTAATGTTGGAAAGACAAAAATGCTTTTTGACTTGGTATTTGTATGCCTGCTGTTTACATACAGTGTAACAGGGTGTCTTCCTGTTGAGCAATTCTAACCTGCTAAGCACTTAGTTGTTGTCAGGAAAACAAATCAGCTCTACTCTTGAAACAATTCTTCACGATTCAGTAAAGACTGATCTTGCTAATTAGGTCCCAAGTCTTTAAAATTTTTTTCTCTGTGTGAGGATACTTTTATCTTCTACTTAAATTATTTTAGTATAGGTACAGCTATTTCATGAGATAGTTCTGATGCCAGGTAAAGCTGTCAGGCCAGCAGGGGCAATTAAAAGCCTGAAGAGATGAATTAGCACCCTGCTTGGTTCATGGGGTGTCGTGGGTCTTGTCCCATGCGCAGCAAGGGCTCAGTCTCCAGTGCTGGGTAACAATACCAAGATTGTGCAACAGGAACACGTGGCAGTGTTTGCTCCGAAGGGCACATGTTGCAGTGGCTTGTGAAAATGTAGAGCAGGCTGTTTCTGTTCATAAAACAAGTCCAGTGTTTTGCAGTGTGAAAATGTATGCTGGGTTTGTCTGGGACGCTGATAATATTCTTCACCAGCCTACCTGGTGCTGTGCTTTGGGTTTGGGACTAAATCAGTGTTGATAACAATGTTTTGGCTATTTCCGAGCAGTGCTTGCCCAACATCCACCAGGCTTTTTTCTTTTTCCCTCATACCCCTGCCAACCTCCCCAGCCTTTATTTTTTTTTTCCCCCCTCTTCACTCTGTCCATTATCTGCACAAGAGGCTGGGAAGGTACACAGCTCTGGTAGCTGATGTAAACTGACCAAAGGGGTGTTCTATACCATATGTTGTTACATTCAACAATAGAAGGTCAGGGAAAGGAGGAAGAATCTGGGATATTCATGGTTATGGTGTTTGTCTTCACAAGTGACAGTTCTGTGTGCCAAGGTTTCACTTTCCAGTAAGTGGCTGAACATGTACCTGTTGATAGAAAAAGTGAATAAATTACTTATTTTGCTTTGCTTGCATGAAAAACTTTGCTTCACTTATTAAACTGTCTCAGCAAGAAGTTTTTCTTGCTCTTGAGCTTCTGAGTTCTCCATCCTGTGGGGATTGTGAGGCAGACTATGTACTCAGCTGGTGGGTGCTTAGCTGCTCACCACGTTAGCACACCACACAATGCTGCATCAAAGGGAGGTGTTGCTGGAAGTGTTTCACAGCCTGATTGAGAATGGAAGTGAGCTCTGGAGGTCATCTTGTCTTCTTAAGCAGGCCCCCTGCAGTCCATTACCGAGGACCATGTCCAGACGGTGTTTCACTATATCTAAGGATGGAGACCTTACAAGCTCTCTGGGCAACCTATGCCAGCGCTCAGTCACCCTCACAATTAAAAAGTTGCACCCGATGTTTAGGAGGGACCACCCATGCTTCAGTTTGTGCCTATTGTTTCAGGTCCTGTTCCATTAAAAGATCAACCTTTCTGACTGTTCACCCTCTTTCAGAGGATTGGAATGCTCAGAAATTGCAGTAAAAATAATATCCTCAGTTTCTTAATTCATAGAAAAAAAACAGTAGCGAGAGCTCGAAATTATTTAGTGTCCACCCACAGACAGTATCTGAATTTTTGCTTCTTAAAGAGACTAAGTTATAATGTGTTGCAGGGAAGTAAAGAGTTATTTTTGGTTCAGCATTTTCACTCTTCCTGAAATGGAGAAAGTGAGCTTCCAAAAATTAATGTGAAGATTTTGTTTAACAGTTTTTTAAAATGTGGTTGAATGGGGCTGATTTTTTTCCCCTTGCTATTTAGAACCCATGTCTCAGGAGGGCTTCTCATTATGCCAAAAAGTCTTAGTTAAGGTAAATGACCTTGTTTGCTTCAAATTCAAATACTTTTTTGGATTGTCTGCTCTTTTGTTCGATGAAAATGGAGTTCAAATCTATGTCATTGATATTCTCTGTTTCTTTTCTAATAATAACTACAAAGAAAGTATGCTTGCAATATGAAAAGCAGAAGTTTAATAGAAAGAAATGTACTGTGTATTTTTTACATGGGAAAGTGCAAACTGTGGGCCAAGTCTTGCAGTGCAAGTGGAAGGGAATGGATGTGTCTAATCAGTTATGCTGTCTATAGTTGTACAAGGCAAATAAAAGTAATCTCCTGCTGCTGGCATCTTAAATCATAGCTGTGAAGTGGTGTACATGCTAGTGTCTAATTAGGCTTTTAAGCTTTTACTTTGGAGAATAGCAATATAAAGTAACAAAGGTTATGTTTGTGGACCTCACAATTGCAGGGAATCTCAATCACCCACTTTTGCTATTTTGTTGATTTTTGATGGATGTGTGTAGTGAGTATGGGAATCCCACAAGCTACTTCACTAGAACCAATAAAACCTGGAAGCTGACTGCAGCCTCCACTGTTGGAACAGCCTCAGAACAGCAGCCTCCCACTCTGTGGTGGTGTGTTCTGCAGCTCAACAGGGACCTGACTCACAATTGTAACCTATTACACAAGCATTCCAGTAATTTTATGTCAAGTCTCTTGGAGAGGAAGAAATGTCTGCATCTGAGGCCTGCAAGGTCAGCATCCAAGCCAGAAGGTGACAGTCATCGTACAAAATGGATAAAAGCAATGTTTGGCTTGATTGTGCCACATAAATTTCCTGCTGTATCATTGCAATATGTCCATTACTGTGCATGTGAATCTAGACTAATGCAACAGTGAGTCAGGATTGCTCATCTTAAGGTAAAAAAGAAATACATCCAATAGCAGTGAATAATTGCATATTTGGATTTGTAGAAAAACCATTTAGTGGCTACTTTAAAAGGTACACTTTTCCTTCTTTCTAAGAAATAAAATAAATGGTTCTGGTCTGTTTCAGTCTTGGACTCTTGATTTAGTCCAAGATGATGCCTGGAGGGTGAATAACGAGCTTATTTGTGGTGGGTTTGCTTACAAATGTGACTGGAAAATCAGCTTACTGATCTGTGAGCCCTTTTGTTGTGTAGGTATCTCAGCTGCGCCATGAGCTGTCCATGAAAGATGAGCTGCTCCAGTTCTATACCAGTGCTGCTGAGGAAAGCGAACCAGAGTCTGTCTGTTCCACCCCGTAAGTCAGTTCATCTGCAATGCTCAACCGTCACCTGTTGGATGGTTTAATAACTGTGAAAAGTGGTAAAACTGCCTCTGTATTGGCTGGAACTATAAATGGGACTGAGAACTTGGTGCGAGGCTCCAGCTGGAAGGATTTGCACTGAGCCAGCTGCCTATCCAAGTGTGTTACAAGAGCTAGGAGGGTACAGTACATAGGGAGATTGCTGACACGATGCTGCAGTTTTCAGAGGAACTGGGTCATGGTTGTGGTGGGACAGCCATGGGTCACCCTGACAGCTGCCCAGTACACCACATACATTTACATGTGCTAGGACATGCTACATGAGTGACCTTTGAAGGACCTCTGAAGGCACTATGGAAAAATTCCAAGCCAAGGGAAAGAAATAAAGCATGGCTTACAGCGTAGGTTCCAGACAGTTAGCTGGCTGAACAACATTGCAGGCTCTGAGGGGCTGTCTGCCCTTGCAGAGTTATTGCTGCATTCTGATGAAGCATGTGCTGCATTAATCAGGAGCTATTGGATTGCTCCCTGTAGTAATGTGGTTTTGTTTTCTCATAGCCTTGAGTGAATAACTCCACATTTTCATAGGAAATGTGCAGAATAATAAATGAAATTTTTAAATATTCTCTTTTGAAATTCTGCAAATTTTTTGCTGCCCAAAAATACTGTTATGAATAAGCTGTATTTCATGTGGCTCTGTTTGCTTTTGAGACCTGTGTTCAGTCTGTGCTTCTGTGTGATTGGCCATAATACATGTAAAAATTTATTTTAAATTGTTGCTTTTTCCTAAAAGGCTGAAGAGGAATGAGTCTTCTTCCTCTGTCCAGAACTACTTTCATTTGGACTCTCTTCAAAAGAAACTCAAGGACCTTGAAGAGGAAAATGTTGTGCTTAGATCTGAGGTGAAATTGCTCCCTTTGTTTTGCTTAATATAGTTGTTCGTCTAAAAGCCAGAACGCAGGTATTGAGAAGCTTGTATTAAAAGCTGAGAGTCTAACTAAGAATATAATTCCACATATAACAATTGTCTCTGTAGTTGTTTAATCACCATCCTTTATCTTTTTAAATGAATGAAAGACTGAAATGTGGAAGCTACATAGAATCACAGAATTGTTTAGGTTGGAAAATACCTTTAAGGTCATTGAGGCCAACCTTTGACCAATCAATACCTTATCAAATAGACCAGAGACCTGAGTGCCATGTCAAGTCCTTTCTGGAACCTCCTGGAACAGTGACTCCAGCCCAATGTCTTACCACCCTTTCTGTGAAGAAATTCTTCCCAAATGAAGCTACATGCAAAGCAGTGTTTGTGCAGTAAGAATGTGCCAGGAGCATGGGCAGATTTTGGAGTCCAGGATTGCACTTTTGAAACAGGTTTTAAAGGGCTGACCTGGCAGATATGTGTGACTTGAGCTGCAGATCTCAAGTTTGTAGACTGGCTTGGTCTCTGATACCAATTCAGTGTTTCTCAAAAATAATAATTACTAGCAAAATGTAAGTTGCATTACATTTCTTAATTTTGTGTTTCAAGTAAGGAAGTTAATATTTTAAATTGAATGTGCTTTTCTTGTCTTTATTTCTTATAATATTCTGTTTGTTTCACAGATAACATGCTCCCACAGTTTAAAAGTTGCATTGAAAATATAAAATTATTCATGTCATATTCAATATTAAACTTTTAAAAACTGTGTAATCACTTTGCAAACATGTAGCAGAGTATAGCAGAAGAGATACTTTTGGTCTAAGATGGAATATATTGAAACAGAATGTTTTTACCAGTTTCCACTGCAAATGCAAGGCCCACTGTAAATAGGTAGTGCCACACCTTTGCACAAGACATCAGGTAATAGAGACTACTCTGCTTTTAACTGAAAAGTTGCACAAAAAAGATGAGAAATAGATGGTCTGAGAACAATGAATGTTAGACCTGAGAGAGCCACTGCATCAGGAGCTAGTAGGAAACCCCATGCAGCACTGCCTTCCCTTCCAGGGAGATGTAGTCTGTGCCAGCAAGGCACAGGATGAAGCCAAATCTCAAACCTGAGAGCTGTGTGGTTCTCTAGAGATGCAGTCTGTGGGTGTCTGTGCATGCCCCCAGCTTTGGGAATCGATTACAGACCCACTGAGGTGGTGCCAGACAGAACCAGCTGGCTGCAGCCATTCTGCTCTTGGCACTCCCAGAGTCAGAGTGGAAAAGACAAAACAGGGAAGGAGGTAGCACTAAAGTTTTTTGTGGGATATATGGTTACAGTGCCAGAACTTTTCAAATAGGATCAAATAGCATGCTTTTTAAATGCTTGAATGTTTAATTCAGTTATTTAAACCAAGCATTTATTTAGTTTTTGATGATACCTACCTTTGCTCAGGTGACCAGATCAAGTTCTGCATGCTAGAAAGGCTTGTTCAAGCCTTTCTTTTTCTTTATACTTTTACTGCAAAATACACAAGTGACATCTAGTGGGGATATGGTGATAATGATGCAAGTTTCTCCATACAGTAATGTCTCTGCTGAATGTTCACCTGATCTCTTTTTCCAGAACATGTGGGAGGGCAGGCAAAAACTGTAGTTTCTCACTGTCTTCCTGAAGGAGTGATTAGAATAGCTTGTCTTTCTGAAGCAGATGGAAGTGCAACAACAGACTGGCAAAGAACAAATGTGCTAATGTAGCATATTTGATGTGGATTTCTTGAACAGGCCTGTCAACTGAAGACTGAAACAATTACTTATGAAGAGAAAGAACAACAACTTGTCAATGACTGTGTAAAAGAGCTAAGTATGTCCCTACTTCTTTACACTTTTTTGAGATAGTTCAGTGAAAAAACCAGAACAGATCAGTCAGTCGTGTTTTTCTGTGGTACTTACTTTCTTTTATAAATGCGTATAAGGAGAAGATTTCTGGCTGAAATTTCACAGCAGAAAATATTGGCTGAAAGCTAAATCTTTCTCATTTAAAAATAGTTTTGCATTGAAGATGTTCAATCTCCTTTGCAGCATGTGCACTTGATGCCTTTGTGGTTTTGTGTCCTACTGTGTTTTTCAAAAATACCTTACTGCCAATTGGGAGTAGGATTCTGCTGAAGCAAGTGATGTTCCAAAAGAACGTCTTTATGCTTACTTTTCTGATTTTTGGTGTTTGATATTAATTGGAATTACTTATCTTAAAGGGGATGCAAATGTCCAGATTGCCAATATCTCCGAAGAGTTAGCAAAGAAAACTGAAGATGCTGCCCGGCAGCAAGAAGAAATCACTCATCTTCTCTCTCAGATAGTCGACCTGCAGAAAAAGGCAAAAGCTGTAAGCAATCCAGTTGAGAGACTACTGTTGTTATTTGTTACTAATGTAACTGGAGAACCGATTAAAATCCTCTCTGTACTAGAGCCTAAAGAAAATATTCCACCTTCCTTATGTGGATGGCCTAGTTTGATGTTTAATATCTGGCATACTTGACTAGAAAGCATCAATTTATTAAAAGATGCATATATGGTTTATCAAATGCAGTAGTTAAAATTATTTTAAATATTAGATACAAAATTCTGCTCTGAGTGATGTCGATGAGACAAGAGTGTCAGTGCAAGTATTTCAGTGGACACATATTTGTTTGGAGGTTCATTTAGCAAGATGCATTCTAATGCTGTGTGTTCTTGTGTTAACGTTTTAAATGTTTTTTAAACTAATGTGTAGATTAATATTGCTGCAAAGGAGAGGTGAGAAAAGTTAGAATGTTCCTACTTAACTGTAGTATAGGATACAAATATCACAGGACAAAACATTGAAGTATTTCTAACATTTTTGGCATATTTTAGTGTGCAGTTGAAAATGAGGAACTTGTACAGCATCTGGGAGCAGCTAAAGATGCCCAGAGACAGCTCACGGCAGAGGTGAGTACATCACTTAGTAATACAGTAATTTAGTAGCCAAGCAATGACAGTTCACTTTGCCATGAGAGGTTTAGTCTGAGCTGGATCAGAAATATTAAATAATTTTGTCTGTGTATATGGGGTGAAGGAACATTTATGTTCCTAGTAGAGTTCAAACCATTTTCTGTCCTAGTCTCTGCTCCTTCAAATGACACACATTTTGAAACACAGAGATTTATGGGCTGTGCAGGAAAACCTTTAGAGGTTGACTTCTCTAAGCTGGTAATTTTAGTCTATTTCGACTAGTGAGATAACATGGAAGAGCTCATTTGTGCTCTATTTGTTCAGTGTATAAACATAAGGCAGTCCAGTGTTTCTGGTTGTCTTATGGGTGCTACATTCACATGAAAAAAGACAGACAAGATGGAATGAATAGAGCTTGATCCCTCTAGGATGTGTCTTGCACTTGCACTACTTGTTGATGAGGGTGGGAATGGCCAGAGAAGCTTTTCCAGAGGGTGGACGTTTTGTATCTGTGGTGCTCAACAAAGATTGGGCTCATGCCTCCTCACCATTGCTTTCTTAGGAAAGAAAATGAACCAGATCTCTTTTTCTAAATCAAATAGCTGATTTTTCTGAAAGTTGTTGGAATGTGGTGTTTCAGATTTCTGCCCTTTTGCCAGACTAGGTTGAAGTGGCCGATGAACCCAAAAGCTGTGAGGGTACACAGACATCTGTAGACAGAGAGATTACATAGGATATGTTTCCTGAGGAAGTTAAAAATAAGGCACGATCTTAGGCTGTTGAAAGCTGTACGTGTATATGTATGTATGCATGAAAGTCTGGCTTTACAATTCCTAAGTCCTTTGGAATTCCTCCATTCCATTGTGGAATGTCTTGTTCTCAGACCATGGTGTTTGCCACTGTGGTCATCATGGCAGTGAGTAAGCACTAAACCTGATCAGACTAAAGATACTTTTTCGCTCTGTATTTTCTCCTTGACAATGGCTTCACATAGATATGTAGAGAAGGAAATGGAGCAAACGGTTCCTTCTGCATTGTGACCCTCCCTGCCTGTCTTCCCATTACTAATCCATGTTATTAATGATCCTTCAGTGTTGCTCAGTTGTTGGAGGTCGATTCCTTTAAAGTGGGATATTCTTTCCTACACTATTTTTGCTTCCTAGTATTAAAAGAATTTGCAGTATTTTTATGGTAACAGTGCACCCCATAATGTCTTGGACTGTTTTCTCTATGTTACAGTTGCGAGAGCTGGAAGACAAGTATGCAGAGTGCATGGAAATGCTTCACGAGGCTCAAGAAGAGCTGAAAAACCTTAGGAACAAGACAATGCCAAATGCGATATCACGTCGGTACCACTCCCTTGGTCTCTTCCCTATGGTAAGAAGATTTAAGGAAAAAGTCTGCACACACCAAGCAAAGGAAATGTGTTTGCATCTGACTTACAGATTTGGGGGTAGGATGCTAGGTTTGACATAAGCATAGGTGAAATGTGTATTTGTATAATGTTAAAGGATACCTGAGTGATCAGTTTTGCATACCTGCAAAAACCGGTGCTGTGCAGCTTTGCTGCAGTGTTATATACAGCCTGAAGCTGTCTGTGCTTATGTTGTGAAACCTGGGTAACAATAACAGGTTCTTACACATTCTCTACATCTTTGTTAAGCATCTCCTGTACTGTGGTGGCTGATATTCATTAGGAGCTACCTGTTTATTTTCAATATCCTTGGAGATATAGCTTCCTAGTAACGTAACAGTGGTTTCCAGACATGGCATCTTTCTAGTAATTTATTATATACATTCTACTTCTTCAGTCTAAGCCTTTGTACAGGGTTAAAAGCATACCTTCTTGTTTAATGCTGACTGAAAATTCAGTGGTTCATTAAAAAAATATTAGTTGCTTATCTGTTTTAGGGCAACAAATTATGGTGCTTTCACTGGTGTTATTAATTTTCTTGACCTGATTTCATGTGATTGACATTTAAAGCTCAGGGAATATGCAGTACCCTCAAGGAAATGAGAAAAAAAGAGTGGATAAGAATGTGTTCAGTGACTTGCTGTGCTTGCCTGTGTAACTCTAGAGTAGTTAGATTACTTCCGAAGGCAATAGTATCAGTGGCTTCTTTTGAAATACATTAATGTAATCAAGCAGCAAAATCTGGCCTGCCTTGTCTTGTCTTACTGCTGAAGAACACATTTTATTTGTGCTCACAAGAAGTAAATTGCCGACAAAGGCTTAGCTTGCCTTTTTGTGCTCCCTTCTGAGACTGAGCACAGGCCAAATTAAAGTGCAGACATTTAATAATACAAGTTGTGCTTGCAAAAATACAGCTGAAAGCTGTGAAGAGTATGCTTCTGCAGAGATAGGTTTATGTGTTTTGTGTGAAAATGATTTTCGAATATTGAATCATGGGACAAAAGATCATTTAGGTTTGTTAATGTTTGATACTAAGACCCTGCAGCCAGCAGTAAAACTTAAGTCACCAGCTACAGAAAAGTTGTGGCCTGTTACCTCTAACCTTATGGAGAAAGTATATAGTGCTTTATGCCAAGGACCACGTCATTTTTGTGGATGGGTGGATAATGCTGTGGGTTTCATGTTTATTTTAAATGAGAACATAAAGAGCAAAACTTTTTACATAAAAGCTGAATGTTACTGAGTATGGAATTCAGCCTGGGAAGCTGGATCATCTTGTTGCCTACAATGCTTTTCTTAAGGGTCTTTGGCAGATATCATGTATTATCAGGTGGCACATACTGCAGGGAAATGAAGCTAAGTCATATTTTGTTAGTGCTTTAAATATCTACGTTAGTTTTCCAGTCATTTTTCATATTTAAACCTTCCATTTTTTTCTTCTAGAAATACTCTTCATTACTTATTATTTTGTATAAGTAATTTATTGGGTTTTGTCATTAATACTATGATATTTGTTTCTCTTTTGTGCTTCTTTTTAACAGGATTCTTTGGCAGCAGAAATAGAAGGGTCAATGAGGAAAGAACTGCATTTAGATGAACCCGACTCTCCTGACTTGGCGTACGATTGAAAAGAATTGGTTCCCAATTGATCAGTTATATCTTAAGTTAATTATTTGACAAGAAAAGAAAAAACAGGAAATAATTGAGTTAGATATTTAGAAAGAAATATTTCCAGCTGAATATGAATGATAGTGAGAAAGGAAAACAAATTGCCTAGTTTTTGGGGTGTCTCTGTTTTCTCCTAAAGCTGCCAAAAGGAAACACCTATATATTTGCTTTGCCTTGTCATGTAAACTTTTTTCCTCATTGGTGAGTGCTGAGAATGAGAAAAGGTTTGTTTTCTTGAGTGTTACCATGCTAGATTTCTTCAGTTACCAGTTAGGGGAGGAGTGGAGTTCAAGTTAGTGAGTTTTTTCTTGGTGAGTTTTATAACATAAGTTACCAGGTAACAATTGATCTAATCTAGTTTTCACAGGAAGAACATCAGGGCAGTAAGGGATTTGGAATGGCTGGATACTTAGTGTGATGCCCATTACATCTGTGCTGAAGTTCTGTTGAATTAAAGGAGAGAGTAGTTTGAAACAAGTTAAGTGCTTGTGACAGCCCCAAAGCTATAGATAGACACAGCTTGGCAGAAATGGCCTCACTGATTCCAGTTGCACGTGTACTCCAATAGGTTTATCGCACAGATTTGTACAAAGCGTGGATTGTTTAATTTGAAATAAGTTAATCCAGTTTAGAGGGTCTGTTACAGAAACAGAGTTTACAAAACAGGACAGTCAGGGAAGGTACAGTAGACACTTCCCAGAAACCTTCTAATTGCATTTACAAAATGCCTGATGCATACACTAACCTTTTCTGAGCCTGAGCCTAGAACTATAAATGGGACAGAGTGAAATGTTGATTAGAAAAATGTAAGATGAAAAAGTTGTGAGCATGCTCAAACCCCATAGGATCCTTTCATCCTTCTAGTAACTAACTTAAAGCTAGTTTAACTTCTTTAGAATGTCTTATTTACTTTGGCTGTACCAGAGGAGGATACTTTTTTTTTGATTGTGTGACTTGTCTTGGTTTCATTTATTTGTGCAGTGGTAGTAACTGCAAGCTCCATGGGACTATTTATTGATTCAACCTCATAAAGATATATGGCTATAGACCTGGAGCCTCCACACAAAGGGTGCAACTGTTGAGCACCAGAAGGAAAGAAATTTAAATTTCTTAAATAGCCTAAGGCGTGCAATTACTGTTACAATCTGGCAGTGTTACCTTTCAGGCAGAAGCAATGTGCTATTCTTGTGTTCAGTCATTGTTGAACTGTAAAACAAAGCAGCAATGGCTGTTTTGCAGCATGATGTAGGGTAATTTTGTCAAGAAATTTCTGCTGAAGTGTCATTGGATGTCAGTCTTGAAGCAGGTGAACAGTGTTTGTTAGGGTGTAAACACAATGGTGATGAAGAATGAACTGTAGAAGTAGGTCAAAAATTAGGTTTCCAGCCTTGACACCCTCTCTCTCAAGTCTTGGTCCATTATATTTCTGGAATTTTTTTCCTTTTTTTTAAAGTACTGTTTAAGGGGATTGAAACTGGTTTCAAAGAGAAAAGATACAAGAGTTGCTTGAATTGAGATATGCTGGAGAGTAATTCAAATTCTCTTCTGAAATGGATTTGCCAGTTTATGGTTGAGAGTTGAATGGAGGTCAATTCTGATTTTTAAAAACTCATATTTACACAATGGCTTTTTAAGACACTTCTAGCTGACGTACCAAAATGCTCTTTCACTTATTTTTTGTTAATATTTGAAAGGGTCCATGCACTTAATTGTCAAATGTTCTGTCAAAAATATTCTAGGTTGATGGAAGAATTATGTTGATGGATTGAATGTAATGGCCAGACTGTAGCTGGTATGGGACCCTGTGCATACTACTGTACAGAACTACATATAAAACCAAAGTGTTTGATAGACCTGTGAATAGGAAGGGCTGTTAATAAGCTGTTACCTGTTCCTTCTCATGGTAATAATTTATTGAGTGATTATTAACTGTGTTTTAGCCATCAGAAGCGGGTCTTTGAGACAGTGAGAAATGTCAATCAAGTTGTCAAGCAGAGATCCATGACTCCATCACCAATGAATATCCCAGGCTCTAACCAGTCCTCTGCTATGAACTCAGTGATTTCTAGCTGTGTCAGCACTCCACGTTCCAGTTTCTATGGGGGAGACATCTCTAACATTATGGTAGACAACAAGACCAATAGCATCATCTTAGAGACAGAGTCTTCAGACAATGGGTCAGTACCATAACACTGGAATTTTCATTTGCTTTGTTTGTGACATAAAGGCAAAGTATTCCTGTCTTCCTCCTTTTGTCTTATGTACCACAGTGGAACACATCTTCAGAATCTCTTTTGTGCATATAGTTTTTGAGCACTCAAGTTTATTTAAAAAAGAAAGCTTTTAGAAAGTACTGTGTATCAGTAAGTGTCTGCAACTCAGACCTGTTCTGAGATGTAACATCACCAGGTAGTGTAAAACCATCCTTTGTTTTTGTAGGTCAACACTTAAAAATAATTACATTTTCACCATTTTACATAAATGCCATGGAGTTCTGATCTCAGATGCAGCTGCAGTTAACTTTTTTGATCCTTAAAATACATAAAGTGTGCCTCTGTAGATTACCTAATATGAAAACCTCTGAATGAAACCAATCAGAACTTTTCTTTTCTAGCTACTTGTCTCTTCCCCAGTACAGCTCTGCATTATGCTGTATATAGTTTTCAGTAAAAATGGCTTAATACCTCAAAACAATGTATGTTTGTAAGTATAATATACTCTTGTGACTCACTGTGGTTTTCTTACAGCATTGGCCCTTTGACATGGGGCCTGCCTACTTGAGTTTTTATGACTGTGAGAGACACAACAAGCAGACAACTCTCAACTCTTTGAAGGAGCAAGCTCTTAAGTAAAGTGCAGGTTTCCAACCAGGGGTTTCCAGTCAGGAGCTAGGATTCAAAACTTTTACCATGAAAGATAAACAAAAGACTGATGTTTGCCCTTGAGCTCTCGAGATGAGTAGTGAGTTGTTCCCAGGCACAGTAGTGTAAAGGTATTGGTGAATGCCTCAAAATTGTCATGTGGAAGTCTTAAACATTTCTGAGAATGGCTTTTTTCCCTCCCACCCTTTTTATTTTTAATTTTTCTGTGTCCCCCTTTATGTTTTAGAAATGAAGACAGGATGAAGAAGCCTGGAACTCCAGGGACTCCAGGCTCCAGTGACCTAGAGACTGCCCTTCGTAGGCTCTCCCTCAGGCGGGAGAATTATCTCTCGGAGCGCAAGTTCTTTGAGGAAGAGCAGGAAAGGAAGTTGCGGGAACTGGCAGAAAAGGGAGAACTCCACAGTGGTTCCATTACCCCCACAGAGAGCATTATGTCACTGGGAACTCACTCCAGATTTTCAGAATTCACTGGATATTCAGGAATGTCTATCAGCAGTCGCTCCTACCTGCCAGAAAAGCTTCAGATTGTGAAACCACTAGAAGGTGATAACAAAGGGCCTCGGCCTTTATCTGTTGTTATTAGTGACTCTTTGTGGTCTCTAATCCATCACCAGAAAGCAGGAAATCTTTGCAATACATACTCTTTTTACTTTAGAGACAGTACTCCACGCTGTTGGTTTGAGATCTTCTAACTACTATATTTTTCCACAAGCCTTAAAAGTGTTAGGAAACAATCCCAGCCAAAGCAGTAAAATAAATATTACAGGCCATGTATGCACATCAGCAGTGCAGCTTTACATCCGACCTAAATGTTACCATTTCATAATTGGAAAAGGAAAGTAGATAAGTCTGTGAAATCTGAACAAGAGTCCTGTAAATTAGTATCTGGAAAGGGCTTTATCTACTTCAGTTAGTCCAGTTGTTCTAATAAGACTGTTATGGTGATTCAAAATTATCTCTGGACTTAATGGGTTGTTTGAGTGGTCACACATGAGTCACTATGGCTTTGTGTTTCGTGTGTGTAATAGGTGTGCTTATTTAAAGTCAAATTTTCTTCATACACTGTCTCAGAAAAAGGCAAGATAGAGATAGATGGCAGTCAGGGCCAGAGCTGTACTTCAAAGTTTATTTCAATAGAAATGTTTAAAAAAATCTGTCAAAGCACATGTAGTATAGTCTGCCTGGCTTTTCTTAGTTCTTTCAGGTTGTAGTTGGAAATCAGTTGAGTCAATTCCTCCAGGTTTTAAACCAAATAAAGTTTTCCTGTAGTACTTCACAGATACACTAGGTAACATAATTTAGCTTTGGCTTCTCTCTCTCTCTCTCTCTCTCTCTCTCTCTCTCTCTCTCTCTCTCTCTCTCTCTTTTCCTGTAACAGAATTCTTGTATTACATTGCATTGTGTGTGTTAATTGCAGAAGTTCCTTTTTTTCATCTTTCATCTATAAGGAGCATATGTCATGACATGTACTCAGAAGCAAAAATAAGCCTTCTTATGTCCTGAAGAAAGTGATGTACTGTATCTACCTATTCAAATGAAACTATAGCCATAGCTCACAAACCCATACTGTCAAGCAGATTTTAATAGTTTGTTTTCATGGCTTCTTTTAAATGGTCATGGAAGTACTTGTACCACATGAGGGAAAGGATGATCCCACTTTGTTTCAGTTTCTGGTTGCTACCACTGTCACCATCCCATTATATCTGCTTGTGTCTTCCAATAAACTCTTAAAGTCTTTATCATCTTTCTATCTGTCTGGGTTTTTTTTTTTCCCCCGATTTTGTTCAGTGTTTTCACTGGGTCATTTCTCGCTTGAAATTATTGCACCTTTTAAAGTACTTTCCATGTTTGGTTTTAGATCTTGCTTGTAGCATGATTGTGTCTGCCTGTTTCATAAGTTTTGGGTTTGTTAACTTTTATTAACTAAATATCTTTATGGTTTGGTTTTTCATTTCAGCTTAGTTTTTTTTCGGAATATTTTTCTTGAGCCTTAGACTTTTTTTTCAACTTCATGGATGCCTTCAGACTACTGAGGAAAAATTGTCTGCTGTACCTGCAGACTGCTATAAGTAGTTGTGTTTTTGGTTTTATTACTGTTTTGGGTGCTCATGTCATTAAACAGAACAAATAAAAATTAGTTTTATAATAAATTTATTATAGGTTAATGACTTCTGCTCCATTAACACAATCTTTTAAATCCCCAGGAAAAAAAGTGACAGAAGCATTAAGAAATTCATCGTCTTTTGCACCTTTAAAAAAACAACACATGCTTTCCTTCAGTCAAACAGAAGGATTGCTTGATGTCACTTGTTTTAGTTATAATCCAGTGGGATTATTTTTGTTTTGTTTTGGGTTTTTTTAACTATGCAGTTGTGACTTGTTGTGTCATAAGCATGAAATAGCACTATCTGTAGGAAAACTAAAAACTTGGGCTGATTATGTCTTCACCCGCTTCCCTGCAATTGTGGGAGCAACACACTGTGAATTTCTAAGCTTTCGCTGATCCCCAAAGTGTATCATGCAGAGATGTCAGGAATACAGGAAAAAATTTACTCCGTCCATATACTTATTTTGTTCTTATATTCCTTCTTCCTTCAGTGGTATGTCCCACCATTACACAGTAATTCCCTTGTGCCAGCTATTTCTGATCATTTACAAAACCATCTGCTAGGGGCCTGGGACTGAATGTAAGCCAAAGTAGTGTTGTATTTCCCTCTTCTTTTGACTTCCACAGCTTTCTCTTTTTTCTTTTTATTTGGGATTTACAATTGTTATATTCCCTTGTACATTTGTGTTTGTTCTCTGTATAGGAATCTAAACTCCCTTACATACACGAAATCAAGGTTAGGCTCAGATATACTCCTGCTTGTGATGGATCTTAGGCCGTTTTCATTTCTGTAGTTTTTAATAGAAATCTTAAAGCTCAAAATGCAGATATATTGGTAAATATATTTACTATGGAAAAATATGAGATATATATTGAAAATTAAGTGCTTGTATTCTGCCAAGCTTATTTTAAGTATAAGTTTTGGTGTGTTTTAAGATGAGAAAGATTACATCTTCAGAAGCTAGCATGTAGAAGTTAATTAACTTTTTGTACTTGCATGCAGTGCAGAAAGACACTTTGATTTCCTTTGCTCTCTAGTTCTTGGAGTAGACTGACAGAAAACCTTTGCTCCTAGGTTAAAGCTTGACAACATCTGTCACTTTTTCAGATTCTGGGATATTTCTTCTATATAAAAGCAAAAAACTTGGTCTTTGTGACAATTCAGAAATAAATACAAGTTAAAAGGATGTCTCTTGTGTCATTTTGGGGTAGTAATGGTTTCTATTTCTTGAGCCTCGAGGGTACAAATTTTCTCTAATCCCTCTAGACTTACTTTAAATAAAAGCAAAAAAAAATAGATAGGGTCATTAGCCAGAGTAACCTAGCAGATCCATTTATTCTGAGCTAAAAAATTACAGATCTTTAAAAGTGATTAATTAAAATGCCATCCATTGTTCCCAGTCATTCTAGAGAAAGAGTTTTTCCCTGTTCACTTCCTGTTTACAGTAAGCTTCCTCATGTGCAATATGTAAATTGACAATTTTTCTCATTCCATAGGATTTTTCTCAGATTGAAAATGTTTATGAGAGCCACTTCTTCTCTCTATTACAAATGTTTAGGCTTTGACATACACCATGCAACGAATTGAACATTCTTGGTTTTTGCATATGGGTGAGACATTTGTGTGCCAGCTTGTTGAATGAGTGGGTATTCTGCTTTGCAGAGAGGGAGCAGGAATAAGACTGCAAAAACTGCTCTGATTTGATCTGGCAGAGGTGAAAAGAAAGATGATTTGTTTGTGTCATAGGGTATGTGTGATTTTTAGTCACAATTTTCAACACAGTAATGGTGGGCACACAGGAAAATGCAGGCCCTTGCAAGCAGTGTTTAATTACTACTTCAGGAATCAAATAAATCCTCCCTCATTTCACTGAGCCCATCTTGGTGTATATATCAATTTTTTCTGATCCATTGCTGCTTCTGACTGTCTCCTGTTAAACCTTGAATACTGAATGTTTTTCTCCGTAAAATGCACCTCCTTTTTCAAAACATTTCTCTGCCAAGGATGAAGCTACAGGTACAGTAGCATTTAGTTATGTAGTAGTTGAATTCCTGTAGCGTAGGGCCCACACAGGTATTTAGACTTGACGTGTAGTTCAGAGTTGTGTATCTGCTTATTCATGCCTGAAGTTGATGGGGTTTCCTAACATATAGTACAAAGTTAAATTGCTGTGCAATCTGTGTGACTACTGTCCTCCCGTTGGCCACTGGTAGAAAATTCTGGCATGTTTTCAGCACTTGTCTTAATTTGTGCTTGATGTGGGAATATGTGATATATGTTCTGCTTAGAGCTTTCTGTGATGGTGCTCAGATCAACTGTTACAATGTAAATTCTTTCTACTCCTGTTTCATCCTGAGAATGGAAGCAGATGAAGATATTTATGGGAAGGGGATGTGCATGTGCACAAGTGTGCTGCTTCTCACCACCAGGCTTTGCATAAGTGCTGATGTGATCAGTTCATTTCACACTGGTGTGGAAATGCTGAAGCATAGGTGAAGCAGTTTTGTGCTGTAGCATGTCTCTCTAGCAACATTAAACCCAGAAACATTAAAGGTTTGGAGCACCCAAACCTTTGGTCTTCTGCATAAATGAAGTGGGACTTTGTCTTTAGGTCCTAGATTGCTTGCTAATTGATTTTGGTTGTCTTTCTGTTCCCTTTCAAGGTTCTGCCACTTTGCACCACTGGCAGCAGCTGGCTCAGCCTCACTTGGGTGGGATTCTGGACCCGAGGCCCGGGGTTGTCACAAAGGGCTTCAGGACCCTAGACCTGGATCTGGATGAAGTGTACTGCCTTAATGACTATGAGGAAGATGAGACAAGTGACATTTCTTACAAAGGCCTAACTACCTCGACGCCAGTTCAGCACACAGAGACCTCAGGTGAGAGGTCACAAGCACAAGTGACTGTTTCAGAGAACAAGAATAACCCCCGCCAATCTCAGGCTTTCACAGAGGAGATGCAGGAGTCCACGACTGACGATGATGAGGGGTCTGGTGAGGGAAACTCATTAAGTCCAGTAAAACTGACATCTTTACACGATTTTGATTACTGGGCCATTCTCACATCTCTTCAGAACAGCATCCATAATATTGCTTTGTGTGTAGCATCTGCACGATAGTGTGTGCAGTGGTTAGAACATAACCATTCTAACATTGGCTCAAAAATTGTTCTTTGATAATCTTTTAATTTGTTTTTCAGTAACAGCATCTGTGGTCAATATTTTACTCGATTGTGATAAGAGAAGGCTGCTAAAAGGAAGTGGTTCATTGACAAACCTTTGTGTGGCATGTATTCAATTTGTGTGTGTATTTAGTGCACACTGTTAAGTGTGTGTAATGTACAGATTAATTACGTATATTTTGTGTTACTGTAGTGCAGATACTCTTCTGACAGTTCATAAGAGGTGATGGCATGTTTTAGATTTTTGTACTGTGGGAAAAAACCGAAAACTAAATGATTGGTCCACTAAAGGTGCCTCTACCTTGTCTTTGCTGAAACAAATGGAGTGCCTTGAAAAATTACCAAAGAAATTCTGAAAGTTTAATTCACTTACCTCAGATACAGTTACCTGTTTTTAAAGTCCTTCTGAGATAAAGAATTAAGGGGATGTTTTTGTGCAGTGACTAATAACATTTCCCTTATTCTTTCTCCACCACACTATTAAAACCCCATCCTTCCTATTTATACTATATTAAGACGTAAACATTTTTAAGTGACAGAGTACCACATGAGTTATTAGATACTCTGAACTGACACTAGCAGCCTATTATTGCACAAGATTACAGATTCTCAAGACTTTAGATGTGTTTTGAGTTTGTGTGGTTTTCTCTCTTGTTCTTGAGATTTGTGGGGGGTTTATTTTAATAAGCTATATAGTCTTCATTAAGATTTGCCTCTTGTAAAGAATTATATTTAGTCCAGAGTCAGAAAATTGCCAGACCTCCTTTTCTTTTCCAGACTTCTTGGTTTTGTATAACTACTTTAAATGAGGGCACTTCCTTCTCTCTCTTTTTTCTGGGATAAATCATAATTTAATATTTGGCTACTCTTTGGAAGATTAGATTGTCTCAAGGCTAAACAACAATATTTCTGTTATTATCATGACATGAAGAGTATCTTCAGCTCTCACTGCAATGGCAGTTCAGTGCTTTCAGCTACTGAGTATAAGCTACTTTCTGCAGTCAGTTGTATTAAGGTTTAACTTTCAATCATAGAATCATTAAGGCTGGAAAAGACCTCTAAGATCATTGAGTCCAGGCATTAACCCAGTCCACCACTAAACCATGTCCCTAAGTGCCATATCTATAGATCTTCTATATACCTCCTGGGGTAGTGATCCAACCACTTCCCTGGGCAGCCTGTTCCAGTTCTTCAACATCCAAACCCTTCAACTTCCCTTTGCATTGGCAAAAGTTGTCCTTGTTCTATGAGATCCCAGAAGGAAAGTTTATATTATTTTTTAATATTAATATGAAAATAAATAATATTTCTTCAGGCAGTCGTGTACTGTTTTGGATATTATCCAGGTTTTTATAATTTTCAAGAGCCTGAGTAACAACAGCAAGAAAAGCTGGAGATATGAGAAACATGGACTGAAATAATCAAAGATTGAAATAACTGGCATTGTTAGGATCTAGGGAATAAAAGATTCAACAAAAGATATGACTAGTTGTAAAATGTGTTGCCATAGAGAGGAAGAGAACAAGCAGTTCTTCATGTACTCAAGGTACAGTAAATGTGAAAAAAAATGATTCTTTGGTTACATTTTTAAAAGTGTTCTAATTGTAAGAGTGTTCAGTACAGGACCATGTCAAAAAAGAAAAAGACTTGCCATGGGCTAAACATAGATAAGGATATAGTTTAGTTCCTTGGTTTTTTTTTTTTTTTTTAAGAACAAATTAGTCTAACATTTCTGGGTAATAATTTGAAAGAGTTCTTTCTTTGAAGTAGAGCAGTAAATGTAGGCCGCTGTGACTACAAACTGGTAAGAAAATCTAGTATTTCCTTCCATTTTCTGTCTCATGATTTGAATAAAGGTCACTGTTTATGAACAAGTTATTTACTGGTTACTGCTGACTTTTCCTGGGAAGAATCTATCTCAGACGAGAGTTTTTAAGCAAATTCCCTACCTTATAAACTGACAAAGTAGATAAAATCATTGAAATTGCTCTAGCAATCTTATTTTACCTTGTATTGTTTGCTGAGTCATTTTAATACATTACAGAAATAAATGGGTCAAAATTAATAACTTTTTGTGGAATGAGCAAGTGCACCAAAAACTTCTATTTCCCATTCTTTTGCCTTCTTTCAAATTGTCCTGTTACGTAGGATTTAGGAGTATCCATGAACTACCATATCATTATTGGTTGTGTTGCTGCTTCTTGTTGAAGCAATTTGTCAGGCATTGTATAAGGAGATTTGTTAGATTTAGTGGATTTTGTCCAAGTAGACACTTACTAATGGAGCAGTACTTCCTAGGATCCACAGTCTGCCCACTGAAGAATATATTTTGGGAGATTGTGCAGCCATTGCTTCTCATTGCTTCTCCTCAGCATTCTTTGTTCTAGATTTCTCTTTAGGAAATGCAAAGCAGGTAGGGGTGTGTATGACATGTGGCAACTCATCATGTATATTAAGGTTACAACATCGTTGCTTGCATGATTCCAGTTGGGAATTGGTTCCAGTTGGCAACATACAGAATAAACTCCTGCTAGAGAATGTGGAAGTAAAATAAAAAGGGAAAGAAAGAAAAATCTTGCACACAGTCTTTAGCGATAGTGCCTTTGTTTATAATCCAGGGTCTCTCCATTGTGGAAAAATCTCATTCAAGAGGTCTGTAAAAGCCAGAAGGTATTTTCTTATAGTTGCTGTTGGCAGGCCATAAAGTATGCCAGTCTAGAGCTAGAGGTCCTCTAGCCTCAGACCAAAAGATGTCTTTAGTGATACAGTGCCTACAAGGACTTTCCCAGCAGGTGTAGGTTATCCTAGTCTGTTGGGCGGGTTTCTGCTTCAGTTGATTGTATGCTCTGAGGTTTGTATCTTGCCTGTTTTGCACTGGATATGTTCTCTGTCACAGTGCTTACAAGCACTATTCGTATTGCCATTTTGTGTGTGCAGAGTGCTGCTCAAAATGAGTCTAAGAGTGTATTTCAGTGTCCAGTCTCAGGAGAGCAAACACTGCTGGTGCCAAAAATATCTTGTAGCCGAAACAAGTGTATTTAGAGCAATTGTAATAGGTATTCTGTTTTTGGGATAGAGTCAGAAATCATACTGTTTAAAAAAGGAAAAGTTATGTTTCTTGTGTTTTCTTGTCCCTGTGTTGAAACCAGTAGTACCCATTGATCTATAAAATAGCTTCTTCACTATAAATGCATATTCTATCCCAATTATGGCACTGAACATTTCAGGAGAAGTTAGCACATACGTGCCCTATGGTCTGCAGTTATTCTGTTGGAGCCACGTACTGTGTGTGGGTAGAGTTAACTTTATGGAAGACTGTAAATTCCAAAGTTGCAGTTTTAGCCTAATACACAGGAGTAGGTTGAGATTTGTGTATCACTTGTGTAGACTCCCAGCATAAGTGGGAATTTTAGAGAAGTTACAGGACACAGTGTTCTTGAAATCACCTGGGATAAGTAATTTTTGCAGCACAAATTTTTATTAACGTCAGTATATTTTTTTTTGTTCTGTGGAAGAAACTAGTATATTATAAAACTGTACAGAATCTGTTTTGGAGGGAGGGGTTGTTTAGGTTGGTTTTTTGTTTGGTTTGTTGTGTTTTTTTAATTCACTGGTTTTCATGTTTCCCTTAAAGAAACTAACGAAACACCAACCACTCAAAGCACTTATGAATGTTCTAATTTTGAAGTTGGAAGGACTGCACTTGATACAGTGTATCCTTAATTGCCTGCTAGTATTGGGTGCATTGGTCTTTTAGTACTTGTATTTGTTAGTTCCACTTATTGATTGCTTTGAATAGACATATGCACAGTATTACAGGATCAGCACTCTCATACTTCATGCTTAGACCGTAACCATGACATGGAGGGCTTTCCAAATAGAGGCCTAAAATCACAAGAGGAAGTAATGAATGTATTATGTTTAAGTTGTTTTTAGCAGGGTTACTATACACGCTTCTAAAAAGTTACCATTGTACAGAAAAGCAATAAATTTTGTAACTCTTCGTAGAACTGAGGTATTGATGCATATTTAAATATATTTTATTTTCAAATGGCATGAATATTTCACAGTAATTATTTCTTTAAGATAAGTCTGTCAGCAGTTGATTTCTATGGTGTTAAAATGCTTGAATTTTAATATGGGGATCCTAGCCTGCATATACTTATGTTGTAGCCACATTAAATACTTTGAAGTCTTTCTGCATCTATGCTCAGTGGTTCCTATACGTATGAGAAAGTGATCTCAGCCAGAAGAACACCCTGTCCAAAGAATACCTGCCTTTGTTCAATTTTTCCTCTCTTTCTGTTTCCAAAGGCAAAATAAATGAAAATTTTGGAAAAATCATATATTCGGAAAATAACTTTGTTGTTTAAGAAACGTAACAAAAGCCATGCTCCTGGTGCAGATGTATGAATTCTTGGAGGTTTTGAGTATTGATGGTTATACTGTTCGGAGGGCCCCATGTTCACATTTTACAGCTATTGTTTCTATCAATTATCTCCTTTTTGTTGTAGTGGTTCACTCAGGCATCAGATCCAGCCTACTCTATATTCCCCCTATTCTGTCAGGCATTTTCAGTACAGGTAGCATTGGATATCTTAGCTACATGTAGGGAATGAATTCTGCTAAATCTACACACTACATGAAGCCACTGTCTTGTCATGTGGACCCTAGTGGGGTTTTGTCACCTAGTTTCCAGTAATTTCACCTCACCCAAGAACAGAATTAGTGGCACAAACTGGCAAAAGTAAAGTCCATAGCCTGTATTCTAGATGATCACACAATAGGGAAGAAAAAGTCTCCTAATGGGCCTTCGTTTTCATCTTTTTAAGCAGGCAGAACTTTTCTATTCAGCAATAAACTTCTAGTGCTTTAAAACACCATCTGTTGCTCTAAGGATGCCTCAGTCTGATTGTCATTCCATCCCTGTTCCCACAGCTTGTGCTAAAGAGATGCCCTAATTCCATTGCACTGCCTGCTCAAATAGCAGGGAACTAGGTTCCCTCCTTTTCTTGAAACATGCCAAAAAAATGATGGACCAGAGTGGCTTGCTTCACTGTTGGACTAAAGTGTTAACTTTGTGCCAGTCTGGATCAAATCATACTCTAAAGTTTTCCCAATTTTTTAAATTAATTTCCTAATAAATCTGTATGTACCAGAACAGGTGTTTGTACAAAGTGCAAAGATTTACGGGTCACCTTGAGCTCTCTGCCTCCTCACTGTTATTTCAGCATAACAACAAATTTGAATTTTGATAAAATGGTGCAAAAGTTAATGATGTTTTAGTATAGCTACCTCTTACAAATCTTCTTCAAACTTAATTTGTCTTGACATCTTCATGTGGGTGGGGCAGGCCATTTGTTCGCTTGCTGTAACTTTCTACCTTCCTCTGCATAAGCTGGTTGAAAATGCAGATAAAGTGGGCTTTTGAGAGTTCCCTGGGTAGAAGGTCATGTCCTAAACGCATCTATTTTGCTGTTTACACCTAGCAGAATGGCCCACAGGCTCAGAGTTCTGAAGCAGGATCTGAGACAGCTCTGAGATACATAAAATCAGCTTTGTGTTTTGTGAGGAAAGTCCTGTTTGTTTTACCAGAAGATGGAGCTCTCTGCACTCAGTTTGACTGGGACCTGACTTTTTTTTTTTCAGAGGTATTTTTACGATAGTGTTCGTGCTTACAGAATAATCCCTCTGAGCTATGATGGTTTGCATTTTCCCATAATGCCTGTGAATTGTTTGAGAAAACTTAAAAGTTGAAGAATCATTAATTCCTGAGTGCTAAAACATAATGCAGCAGAAGTCTTAGGTTTAGATTTAATTTTAATTTAGTGCATTTTCCCCCTAACAGTTTGCACAGGGATGAAATTACATTATATTTCTGCAAATTTTGTTAAGCACTCAATTATGTACAGTTTCTTTTTCATACAGATATGAAGCCTTGTTGTTACACTACGACTACTTTGGAAAAGAGGGTATAAGTAAAGCATTTGGTGTCAGACAGTTAGATGGAGCAGATGTTTATATTCAAGTGAATACTTTGATATATGTAAATGTGAAGATAGTTTTCCTTATTAGAAAAATGTATTACTTCCTCATGAACTTATACCAACTCAGGAGATGGCCATTTATATGTAAAATTACTAAGTTAGAAATCAATAATTTTGTTTCCATTTCATAAACTTTGTTCATTTACAGCAACAGGTTCTCACTCTTTACTGTGTCCAAAGGATGGAAAATGCTACAGCAATATGATACAACCCATTGTTGACTGATGAAGGATGAAGCTGGTACAGGACTTTCTTAGTGGTATTTGAGGGTGAAATACATCCTTGGAAATTGATAGATTTTTAAAAATCATTTCAGTTTGTCTCCTCTGATTAGAGTTAGTGATTTCTCTACTTTTAGCAGCCTTCTCCTATCTTTGACTCATTAATAACAATGAGTCTTGCTTTTGCTAATGCAGCTGTGTTTCTTCAATGTGCCTGTCTCCAGTCTGAGGGGATGCCCAGGGGATATGACAAATGGGAAAAATTCACTGATTGTATTACAGCTGTGTGCTTTGGGTTGAGCTTGCAATCTTAAACCAGCATTGCTTTATTCTGTTCTCTATTCATCATCCAGGGATAATTGCTTTGTTTCTAATTGATTTATGTTAAAGTCCTGTGTTTCTCTAAATAACCAGTTTTTTCACGTCCAGTTATTTAAGTTCTTTCTCCAGATTTTCTTAAAACTCTCTACAATATGGAGAGAATCATGATTGCTAGGCTGTGCTCCCTTGTAATAGCTTTTGTAGTGCTCACACTAATCTCTAAAGCAACTGGATTCCTGAAGCATCCTAATTACCATCTCTGGAGGTGAAGTAGAGCTTGTTGTTATGTTATGCCGTGCTAACATTTTGAGTGTGTTAACAAGACACTCCAGTGGGTCCTTAGAAATATCCTTCTCTAATGTACAGCTGTACATTCCAGCCCTGACTAGAAACTACCTCACACTGTGTGCTCAGCCACTTCTGCTTCCACCGTTCACACTGGCCATGCTCTGCCCCTCACACACTGCTTATATGTGTTCTTAAAGGGCTACCTAACCAGACACGCTGTTTTGGAGCTGTGATACTTTATATGTGAAAAAGGGAATACAGCCACAATTAAGACTTGCCTTGCTTCTGCTGAGCTGCTCTGGGAGTTCAGAATGGTGTCTGGTCTAGCTGGTCGGTGTGTCTGTCTTTTGCAACGTGTTGAATAGTTGTGTGCTGTGGTATTAAAATGTGGCTTAATCGGGGAATGGCTCAGAGGGTTGGGTAGGACTGGTGGCGGGAGGGAACTGCACATGGTTTTTATTGTGCATGTCTTTTGACCACTGCTAAGTTTGGTTACTAAGTAAGAGAACCTATGCAATCATGATATCTTTGATGTAATATTTAACTCTGGGTGTTCTTCAACCAGCTTTTCAGATGCATGGCTCTTGAATTCTGTAGTTATTTTGCAGTGACCACAGCTGCATTATATAGCAGGTTAATACAGCCACAGAAGTATTTCTACTAAGAAGAAAGAAGTTGGCCTAAGTCCTTCATTTTTAAAATTGAGCTATATCGCTTCTTTCCCAAATCACTAATCTATCACCAGAGTGGCAGTTTTACAGCCACATTTGTTAGGAAATTTGCTTACTACACTGTCTACAAATATTCAAAAACTGCTATACTATGCAGCTGAGGACATACATTTTTAAAGAACCTAATCACATGCACAAGAGAAATGTCACGGATGTACAGTAGTGGATCCAAAAAACTACCACTTTCTATATTGTGGATATGAAAAGTCAGAGAAACAGTAATTAATGTCTGTCCCTCCCCTCCTCACCCCAACAGTCTGTATTCCTGTAGCATTAGCAGATGGATCCATTACAGAGAAGTAATGGGGATGCCTTTTTGTGGATCAATCTAAAAGCTGGAAGGCACAAGCATTTAGAAAATCCTGGTGCTCCTGAGCTGGTACTAGAAAATTTTGCTCGTAATTTCCCACTGATGCAAGTTGCATTAGTTTAGATAAGGGCTAGCATTTCAAGCACTGCCTGGCCTAAATTTGGTTTGAACAAGACTTAATCTGCAGTGTTTGTGATCATGGGCAAGTTTCAGCAGACCTTTTTAGCACTGGCCTTGGAGTCCTAGAGGTGTTTCTTTTGGAGAACAAGTGTCTGTTTAACACTGTAGTACTTGGGCATTTCACTTTCCTTGCATTGATCCCATCAAGGTGCCTCATCACTTTTTGCATCTGTCTTATCAGCACACAGAAGTTTAGTTTTCCCCTTTTCTGTGTAAAATGCAAAGAATTTGCTTTTTTTTAATTTAGTACCTCATCCTGGGAAGTGCATGTCACAAACCAACTCCACCTTCACCTTCACCACCTGCCGCATTCTGCACCCCTCCGATGAACTCACACGAGTCACGCCAAGGTAAGGGATTCTCATGATGGCAAAGCCTTCAGCTCTATCAGAGTTTCCCCTCTAAGCAAATGCAAAATAATAGCATAAGCATAGGCATTGACTGGATTGGTAAATTACACCACACCCACCAATTATTCCTCCCATTTTGAGTTACTGCAGCCTGAATTTGGGAGGCATGTGTGATGTTTTAAAAAGCCATTCAAAGTTTCTTACATTCAGTTGAGATATTGCAGGATCAGACATAACTGTATTGGTTTCTGATATCTAAACCTGGCTACTCTTAATCTTAGACTAGTTGTAGTCCTCATATGTGAATGCACAGGATGTAATCTCTTACTAAAAAAGACGAGAAGTTTTTCCAGGAAGGAAGTCTAAATCTTTCTTCTCAGAAGAAGAAAGGATGTGCAGGTAAAGAAATCCAGGAACTACATGAGGCATGGAGGAGGACATATGCCTTAACTGGAAACAGGGAGACCTGTACTTTGTTTCTTGGTGTAGTTATTGGAAATTAATTCATAGTTGCCAGACTGAAAGTAATGAGCTGATGATGCAGTAGCATTTGGCAGTATAGACGCTGCATGTCAACAGAAGGCAGTTCTATGGCCTTATGGAAAGTGAAGATCTGAGAACCAGAGGGGGGTGTGTGAATTTCGTACCTAAAGAGGGAGCTTTCCTCCCTTAGAAATCAGGATTTAAAGAATGTTCTTTCCTGTTTATAAGGACAATGTCTCATTATTTCTCTGCCCCTTCCAGATCCTCTGAGCGAGTGTACCACTGTGTGGGTCTCCATGCAGAGGTGTTGTGTCTACACTTGTTTAGACACGAGATAGGCACTGACTTCCTATGAAGGACATGGGAAGTAAGGGTATTGAATATGAAAAAACCTGTCAAGTAGAAAAGAAATATATGATGCTTAAATGTAACTTTTTTGCTTCCCTTTCTAAGGGACTAATAACTAAATTATTAGTAGCCTGGCTGTTTTTTCTTGACTCTTTTCTGTCTTTCCCCTCAGCACAATTACTGAAGAGATCCTGCAGTTCTATTTTAATTTTCTTGCTACTGTTGAATTCTTGTCAGCTGTGATCGTAATAAACTCTTTGGGTACTAAATCAGTCAGAAAAGATAGCTAAATTCAGTGCATTTTCAGCTGCCTTAGTTAAATGGAAGCTCGTCATTTGTTCAGGAGAACAGAAGAGCAAAATAAACAAAATTATGTTTTCAGCAGATGTTTAAGGAGCTCCTCCTTACCAACTACAAATGATTCTTCACAGGTCATGTGAGGAGAACGAGAAACTGCCTTATGTCTCATTGTGATGAGAGGAGGTTTAGGGCAGACACTGTGACCCAGCGTGGTTGGGGGTGAGCAGCACTGCCAGCAGCATCTGTGTTGGCAGGGTCATGTACAAGGAATGCTAGTGTGTGTAGCACCAGCTAACCCCAAGAGGTTTGGCATTTACCTACCTGGTTGCATTTTAACCTGTGCTACCCCAGGTGTTGCTCTAACCTGACTAAATTTCATCCAGCTAAATTAAATGCTCCTTTATTTGTTTCTTTTCTCAATCTAACTCTGAGACTGTCACTGGGCTGAGTTGCTGAGGCCACTTTGAGTCTGTTTCTGTGGTTGTGTCCAGGGTGCCCTGCGGTGTTAGTCAGTTTTGGAAAAATATTTCCCAGTTAAAAAGCAGTGCCAAAATGATCAAATGGGAAAAAAAGGCAACATCTGCAACTGCTTTCCTGGGTTTTTTTAATTGCACTCTAAGTGCAGTGTAATGTAGGAGTGTGCTGAAAAATTAGTAGAAATACTAGTCTGCATGTCTGTGCAACTGAAATGTGTATCTGGAAAGAGTGAAGCTGTTGGAGTTAATAAGCCATTGGAGTGCTGTATTTTTCATCTAATGACTATAATGGAAGCCTCATAATGCCGTATGTCTGGATTTCTGAAATGTATATGGTCATACCTTGTAGAAAGTCAGTTCATGCAGTAACTTCTCTTCCTTTTTTCTCTCTCATCTTTTGAAGAGTTCTGTGTTCTGTATTTAGCTGTATGGGAGATGCATCACAGTGGGTGTCACTGTTCTTTAGTTCCACTGGAATCAGAACTATGAGGGTCCAGCTTTAATCAGTGCCTAAGAGAAGAATTGTGAACTAACTTCTTTCCACGCAGCCTTGCCTTCAGAGTGTATGTGCTGCTGCAGTGGGTGTGTGTGGCCTCCTTAGCTCTGCTGGGAGATATCCTTCTCCCCTGCTGCTGCCTCAGCCCAGGCAGAAGGGACAGGACACCAGGATGTGCCTTAGCACATCTGCCACATGCACTGACAGCCACAGCACACACGGGGGTGCAAGGAGACTGAGTCCGGAGCCACTAAGTAAGGCTGTGTTTCTAATTACATCTGCCAGTTTTCTCAAATAAGTGTTTCACTACAGTATACCAGGAGGAATATGTGGGATTCCTCTTGTTGAGTTGCAGCTGCAATTCAGCTTCCTCAATTTCACTTGCTTATTGTAGAGGTTGGTACAGTTCCAAATCAGTGTTAGAGGTCATGTTGATCCCATCTTATTTTGCCTTGGAAAGAAGACATGACTTGAGATTTCATAGCATCAGGTTCTGTTTTCCTTATTAAGAAGTGCCTTAAAGATACGCTGATTTTTAGACCATGGGACTAGAGTTTCCAGTGTTGTGTGAATTCATATCCCCTGCTCACTGTAAACCAAGGATCTAGATGATGTTCTAAGCTTATCAGAAGCTGCAGCTGAAAGCATTCCAGGTGTCTAACCTGTTATGCACAGTAGTGTTGGCTATACAGAGTTCATTACTGTAAGGTGAAATGAGACTGAAAATTCCAGTCAAGACACCATCTCAGCCCTTTTTGTCTATATGGACAAAAAAAGAGGTAATGTAATCATTAGCCAGAGTCTTCTCTTGGAAATCCAACCAGATTGTCTCAAAGTGGCTCTTTGAGATGTATTTCTTGTGCAGAGAACCCCGCTTAAGTAAAAGTTGCACGTTATGGCTGAGACAATCCAACAGCATGGCTCTGCTGAAAAAGGAAGATCTCACTCTCTCCCTTGTTCCTTCCCCTCCCAGCTGCTTAGTTTTCCCGCTGTCTTGCACTGGCTTTCCTTTCTGTCTGAGTCTTTGCTGAGTGCCTTCTATTTGCTAACCTGGCAAGGTGAGGGCATAGATTTCCTTCTTTTTGAACAATGGTGAGCTCACCAGTGAATCCTTTGTTAGCATTAAATGTTGCATTGCTCAAGACCCTTTAAATGTCATTAGAGGAGATGAACCCATGGTTAGGTGATATTACTGTGGAATTATTTTATTATTATTATTATTTGTACGTGTGGGTACTTGTGGCAAAGATCATAATTTGGCATGGTTAGAAAAAGCTGGAATTTATCTTTCTTACTGAAGGTGCATGGAGCTCTTAGGATTCTCTCAGATATAAATTTGGAGTGTCATAGATATCCCACATGCTTCATTTCTGGAATAGCTAAGTACACCATGCCTTAGTGAATGAGTGTTCAGTTCTGTGTGCTCAGAAGTGACACTAAAAGTAAATGTCTTGCTTATATCATTGGTCCAGTCTCCTGCATTTCCTTGCCCCTTAGAAGCAACTGGGAGTTGCAACAACCAGTAGATCAGGAAGTAAAAGTGAAGGTGTTGATCGCAAACCTGTAAATAGTTTATCAGGAGAAATGTGGTGCTGGGTGTTGGCAGTGGCATTAATCCCATGAGACTGGGCTCTGCGGTGTGCAAAGTGGAGATTTGTTTGGTAAGATCTGGTGGTTTTGCATTTGTAATCACATTTGTGGGGGGCTGGGAACTGTCAGTGTCCTGTGCACTCTCCAAATGGATGAAAGGCCCTGCTCAGGGTTAAAAATCTTGCCTGTGTAGTAAATTTTAGTTTACTAGTGGAGAGAATAATTTGACTGCTTCTTTACTTTCAGCCTTAACGCAGCACCTACTCCAGCTTGTGGCAGCATTAGCAATTTGAAAGGCACCCCAGTGGCTACTCCCTGCACTCCTCGGCGTCTGAGTTTGGCCGAATCCTTCACCAACCTCCGGGAATCCACAACAACGATGAGCACGTCCCTGGGGCTGGTGTGGCTGCTGAAGGAAAGGGGCATCTCGGCAGCAGTGTACAATCCACAGAGCTGGGACAGAGCCAGCAGGAGCACCCTGCTGAACAAGTACTCCCCGAAAATGGCAATCATTCCTTCCACTCCACCAAACTCACCCATGCAGACACCTTCTTCTTCCCCTCCATCTTTTGAGTTCAAGTGCACCAGCCCACCTTACGACAACTTCTTGGCTTCAAAGCCTGCTAGTTCAATCTTGAAGGAGGTGAGGAATAAAAAGAACATCAGAAACAGTGAGAGCCAAACTGACGTGTCTGTTTCCAACCTTAATCTCGTGGACAAAGTCAGAAGGTTTGGTATTGCCAAAGTTGTGAGTTCTGGGCAAACATCAGCTCCTCCTTTAACTGATGACCAGGGACCTCTTCTCTGTGGGGCACAGGGACCAGTGAGAGCCCTTGTTCCTGGAGGCCTGGCACCTGACAGTCTCCCCTTGGGCTGCCCTGCTGTGACCAGTGCCATCGGGGGCATCCAGCTGAACACTGGCATCCGAAGGAATCGGAGCTTCCCCACCATGGTGGGTTCCAGCATGCAGATGAAAGGCCCAACATCCCTCACTTCGGGGATCCTCATGGGAACCAAGCTCCCGAAGCAAACTAGCTTACGATGAAGGACTTTATTTTTACAGCTAGTCTTTTTAATTGAAAATACTCAGATTTTTTCTCCAATCTCCTTTTCCTTTCCCCACCACCCCTTCATTGCCTCTTGAGTTTGACAAATCAACTTTGTGCCTAACAGGAGAAATGTGTAAACTTTGTATAAAATGTGTAAATATGTACCAGATCTATTGTAACTAATTGGATTATTTTACTGCTCAATCAAGTGCAAAAGGCTCTATGTTATGATTGCTGTATTAAGGTTAAAAAACTAATTAAGGTAAAAACCTTTTGAAAAGGTTTGGATTTTTTTAAGATGCACTGAAAAAGAACAAAAGAGAAAAACAAACAAAAAATGACTAGAAAAACATGAATTCTGTAGCTAGCCTAACTTGAGTCAAAGGTGCATGGGAAGCTATTGAATGTGTTATGTGAGACTTCTTATTACATCACTTGAAGCATGGGAGCATTTGTGCTTCGTTAAATACTGAAAAAAGCACTCAGTTTAACATGTGGTAGTTTTGATTTTGCCTCTGTGTATGAGTTCAGCTGAGTTATTGGAGTGCCTGGCTATTATGCCTGAATGGATGAAACCTTATTTTCTTTTTTCCTGTTCTGTATTTGCCTCCTCCCCAAGACTGTAAACTTGAACTAATACTGTGTTGAAATCAGCAGGCCTACTGGCTACCTGGGGTATTGACATATTCCTACCACCGCTGTTTCCTTTGGCACACCTACACACTTTGTGCAACTTCTTTCTTTGTTGTTTTTTTGTTTGGTTTTGTTTTGTTCTTCAATGCTGCACTGGATTGTGGAAGGGAAAATGCTTTATTATGTGTTGCTGCCACTGAAACATGCTTTGTCAGTGCGCCCAAAGAAAACAGTTTTCACAACTTGTGAGGTAAACATGGCAGTGACTTCCTAGAAGTCCAAGTTGCAGAACAGATTGACAGATAAGAATGTTATGAAAGAACATGTAGCAAAACCAGTATTAGGAAAAGGTGAGTCCTTGAAACCTCAGCAGAGAACCACAGAAAACATTTAGTAATGGAATGGTACAGATGGAAAGAACAGCTTGCAGCCCTAGTGCTGATCTTAGTGTTTCATGCATGCCAGAGACAGTGGCCTTTTAAGCAGGGTGAGAATATTCTCCACCCATTTTCTGTTTTCTTTTTTCAGAGAAACCTTTTTCATCCAAAGTCGGACCCTAGCATAGGTGAAAATATGGGAAATGCTTCATTTTCACAGTGTTTTTAAAATTAGGGAAATACCTGCCATACAAATATATAACCCCCTGCTTTTTCAGAAAGGAAACATAAGACCTCACGCAACCTCTAGTTGCCAGGCAATCCTAATTATATTGCAATTTTTTCTCTGTTTCTCCCAGCCTTCTGCAGGGTGCTTGTAGAAAGAGTTGAAATACCTTGGAACTGGAGCAGACTGGAGGGAGCTTGTTTCTAGAGCGGAGCTGAGACATAAATATTTTTTGGAAGAGGGGATGGAGAGGAGCAAAACAGGGAGGGTTTAGCATCCACTTTCTTTTCCTTGCACTTTTTGTGGCATCTAAAATCAAGCTCCCCGTTTGTTACCATTGTTGCACTACATGTAATTGCTGTAAATTGCCATTTGTACCAGACTGTTACTAAATTATTAGCACTGATAATTTCTTGTATAAATGAAACTGTCTTTTAGTCTTTGTGACGAGAGATAGGTGGGTGGTTTGTTTTTTTCTGAATGAAGTAGTCATTGCAGTAGTTCTATGAACACTAAGGATATTTTTTGAGAAAGAAAAAGAAAATACATTGGTCAGTTACAGCATGTGTTTGAAGACTTCTATTTATTCTATGAACTTACAATGTTTTAGTAAAATGCCATCAGCTCTGTTTGCTGTTGTATGTGTGCACTTATTGCAAGTACATTTAAGTATCTTCTTATTTGAATGTATCTTAAACCAATAGATAGAATAACAGTTGATTCTGAAAAAATGTCATGGACTTAATGGACCATTTTATATTCCCAGAGGAAGAAAGCAATACCATAAGAGAACTTAAAGTGTAGAAGTTAATCATGCAATCGGGAAGTATTATTTAGCCTTTAAATAAGCTGTAGGAGCTGTCCACCCACCAGAGAAAGTAATTGTAACACATCCGAATGATTAAATTTAATTTTTTCCTTCACTAATATCAATAAAATAACAGAAAAGTTGCATTGCTGTGTATTATTCAACTTTTTCTGGTTCTTTTAAGGTGATAAATCTTCCACCTTGATCCCTTGCTCTCATCTCTTAGTTAAAGCAAAATAAGAGGCCATCCTTTGTTTTTTAAAATCCTTAGACACAGAACTGGTTGAAAAGTTTTCAGATTTTAAGTTTGCTGAAATCAGTGAAACTTGAGTCAAAAAAGAGAAGCAAATGTGCTTTTTCATTTTTTTATTTGAATTGTGAGAATGCAGAATTGGATGTTGTATGGTTTCTGTATTTTGAGGAGAGGAGTTTGCACTCTCCTGCCTAATACGGTGCAAAACCTGTAGTAACAAAATGTGAAAGTACAGAATAAGGAAGAAACATCCTGTTCTTCAAAAGAGACGGGACTGAGGTCTGCTGTTAGCCAATATCTTCGTTACTGAGGGAGGGAGCATTGCAGTGATGAAACTTCAGGTAGCGAGAAGCTCAAAAAATCTGCACATGTAGTGAAAGCTAAGTAATGAAAAAGCTCCCTGGAGGAGGGAATAATCAGGCAGTAACTCTTAGAAAGATTAGACAGCTTCATTGAGGAGAAGGATGTGTGTATGAGGTGGAGAGGGAAATAATAGCATTTATATCTCTTACTTGCTACAGAGACAAAATGGGACAGCAGTGACACCAAAATAAACTTGTGGAGGGCTTTTGTTAGTGCAGTGCAGTGCCCTAGACCAGCTCTGAGAGAGGCTGATGCCAGGGGCACAGCCAGGGACTGTCAGTACAGACATCCTTCCTGTCTGCACAGCTCTGAGCCTGAGGGAAGCTCGTGGTCAGAAAGTTAATGGTTAACAGGAAGGATCTAGGGAGGAGAAGCACTGTGCATCCAGCCCTCCTTGCCTGGGAACAGGATGAGTTAAGCAAGTGCCAAACCAGGAAAGGTGAGAGCTGATTCTGAGGTGCACAGAAGAGAGAGTGTTGAAATTGCCCTCCACCCTGCAATGTTCAAGTATCTCCGACACTTTTCTGGATGCGTCTTCGCTTCTAGTAATTCTCCTCTGAAAGCTGGGTTGGAGGGTAGGGGAAGATGAGGTGCTGAGGATTGTGTCTAAGACTGGGCTGTAGATAGATCCTGGAACACAGGACATTCTTTGGAGAGCCAAGACTGGCTAAAAACGCCTTTTGAGACTCTTCCCCTCTTCCTTTTACATGTATCCTAAGCATTGGATGGCCCCACAATATACTGCTATTGTGCACAGAGGTTTAAGAGTTCCTCCCCACTTCCTGAACACATTTACTGGCACTCTCTATATTGAATTGAAAAGTCCAGCAATGCTGGTGAGATGTGTCCTGCCTTCCTTTGGTACAGACAGCACCTGCTGCCTGTGGCTTGTATTCACAATGAAAAATTAGCTTTGTTCAGCTGCGCTACCACATCTCACTGGGTGCTTTTCAGACCTGCTTTAATTCACTTAAGAAGCCAATTGAACCACAGAATGGTAAGGAAAATAAAAGGCCTTAGAAGTTATTCGTGCTAAGCAATATCCTTGGCTATAATGTGTAGGCAGTGGACTTTCATGTGAGAACTGCATACACTTGAGAGGCCAGTAATGTTTGTATTTAAAAGATGACAGAGATTTTTGTCCTGCTGAAATAGGTTTCAAGCTGTGCTGAATCCAATTGCTGTTCAATTGACACAGGTACTTAGAAATTATTAAAGCTTTAACAAGCACACAGACAGTTTTTTCTTTTTTTAAGGGAATTTTAATGAACTTAAGGGATACAAAAATTGAACATGCAGAGAAGCCTTTCGCTGCTCTGCTGGGACATTGACACGTTCATCTTGTTTTGCAAATTCCTGTGCTCAGGCCTTGGAGAGGGGAGTGCCTGGTCTGCTGTTAGGCTCGCTGAAATGCGCACAGCTGGGCTGCAGCTGGGAACATCCGGCTGGAGCACGTTGCCAGCACACATGCAGTAAGGATGAAGCAGCTGGGGATGCATCAAAGCCGGGGAGAGGAGAGCAGGATCCACACTGGTATGAAATACCAGGGAAGATGAGGCTGCTCAGGGTCGGGTGCACTGGTGCAGCTCAGGTTTCCCTCACATGCTGCCCCAGCTCCCAGGGAGAGCTGCCCCTTCCCCAGGCATGGGTGCTCCCTCTCTCTTGCCCGGGTTTCTCTTCATTCCCACAAGGAGCACTTGCTATTTGCACCTTTTTCACAGCTGTTGTATGCACAACTCTGCAAAAGCAGAACCACAAGCTTTTCCCAAATAATTTATGTGGAGTTTGCAGCAAGCTGCTCCATTCATGGAGTTTTGCCCAGCACCTGTTTTGAAATAAAGTTAATAAAGCTGGAGCAGAACTAATTGAGTCAAGCTCATGGAGAAAATAAACTGCAATTAAACACAAAAAGATATTGATTTGCTATTTTGGCTGTGTAAATTTAGCACCTAAGCACATGCTTTCATAAAGATAAATTTGGATAAAGCTAAATTAAATGTCAAGAGAGTTGGCAGTGCCAGAAATCTCACATCCCAGGCAGCACCAGGAGGTTGTGTCAATGCATTGCTGTGTGTGCTGGAATCTGTGGGACACTTCTCAAATCAAAGCCTTTGCTGGTTGCAAGGGGCTCCTACCCAGCTTCAGAGCTTCCATTCCTGAGGCTGCTATTTCCCTTGGGTTAAAACAGGGCAGCCTGGAGAGTGCCTTCTAATACCATGGGATAAGGGTTGCAGCTACCAGGGCTGCATGACTTTCCCAGGTTTGCTGTCTCCCCTGTTTAGCTCAAATTAGCACCTCCAGGTCACCTGGGAGCTGAATGATGTCTCAGCAGCCTTTACAACTCTTTCCCATCTGGGGAATTTCTTCTGTTCCCAGAGGAGCAGGTGATGGTTATTTTTATGATAATGAGGATCATGTTGCTGAGCTGCCAACAGCCAGCTGCTAACAGCCAGCTCCCCCTTGCTTCGAGGAGCAGCACTGTCTCCCAGAGTCACAGTCCCCCTTCATAATTACTGCATTTTCCCCCGTATTTTTTTTATTCTTAACACTCACTTGTGCCAGTCAGGTGCTGAAGCCATTTTTGTGCGTCAGGCAAAGATACTCCTATCCTGGGGGAGTGACAGGTAAAAGCTTCCAAACCCATCACCTGGCTGCCCTGAGGGCTGTGCACTTTCATAGACATCTTCAGAGACCTTCAGAAGAGAGAAATGGGGAAAGATCATCTTTGTCTCTCCACCCATCTGCCTGGAGGAAATGAAACAAAGAAGAAAAGGAAAAGGTTTGTTTTTTTCCTAATGACAACATTCTGCAGTAGTAAGGCTTGATTTGTAACATCACCCGCTCCCAGCCCCCCTGCAATATTACAATATTAAATCCTTTATGAATATAAGCCAGAAATGGAAACATTTAAAGACATTGCTTGAATGTTCCTGACATTAATTTAAAAGATAACAGTGATTTTCTTTAAAAGTAACATCACTTATGGCAAATACATTGTGGCAAATGTATAAATAAATGCATTTTTAGATTTATTTGTATTTCCCTCAGTTAAGAAAAAATATATTAATTTGGTTTAATCTCTTGTTTGAAAATTTTGGAAAAAATGGGCGCTCTGCACTATTTTGCTGTGAACAATAACCAAAACCAAGGAGAGAATTCAGGTGATTTAGGACTCATTATGCTTGGAAAGGAACCTTAAAAAGCCAGGCTAAGTGGCTTGGAAACTGGTTGACTGGGAGGAGCTTGAGAAAAAGAAAGCAGAAAAGCATTTCCATGTTTTCAGGATGAGATCCACGGGGAAAAAAAAATAAATTTGGTGTTACTAGAGAAGAATACTGCCTGTTACTATTTGCTGAACTCTCGCTGCAGATTCTGCACTGCTGTTTGCTCTCCCAGCTGCTGCTTGGAGCAGCTCCTCAAAGTGTTTTTGTGCTCAGCCCTTGGCACAACCATTTTGGTTTGTTTGCCAGTGTTGGTTTTAGTAGAATTTTGGTTTAGTGCAAGTATTTTCTATGTATTGTTTTCTACACTTTGTGTTTGCCTATCAACTGCTGTAGAAATTGCTGCCTCTTTCCTTTGGCAAGCACCTGCTTTCTTGTGCATGACAAATATTTTCCTTTTTGTATTAGTGCATACAATCGGGAGAAACTCTGAGAATTATGCAATGCAAAAATCACCTCCTTTACAATTTAGGTCATTCCTTAGATGTGAGATCCAGCTGCTGAAGGAGACCCAGGAGCTGCAGGGAAGCTGGTTACCTGTAGTGCTGGAGGAGCATGCAGGTAAAACACCTTTTTTGCAGCCTGCCCACGGGCAGATGGGAATGACTGCAGGACCTGCAGGGTGCTGTTTTTGCACAAGCTGGGATCACTGCCCAGCTCTGAACTGGGGGCCCTCTGCCCTGCTCTGAGCCAGGTAAGAGCTGGGCAGAACCTCCCTCCTTCTCTCCACATCGGTGGGCAATAGCCAGCTCAGCCTCTGCGATATTTGGGAGCCACCTCTTTCCTGTAAGGATACTGTGACTAGACTGCTCCAATACCTCACCCTCTCAGGATCACCTGCTCTCCTCAGGAAACTGTCCTCACCCCCTCCCAAATGAATTCTTGGCTCACCACACAGCAGGGAATTCTCTGTTTATTCTGTGATTTGCAGCCATCAGCAGAACTTTCACATTGAATTCACAATATAAAACAGGTAAGCCAGGACAATGAAGCATGTTAGTGTCATTCCTCTTTTTCACTGTTCTAGCACTGTTGGCTGTTCACTGCAAACATGTGGGCCCAGTATATAGCTCAGTCCTTTGCAAACAGTCACCATAGCTTTTCAGGTCTTTTCTGGTAAATTGTGCTGCTGTGTTTATATTTGGACATGTTCCCTAGAGTTCAAAGCTATTGGGACTGACACAAGACTTCTCTGAAAAGTGGATAATCTGACTATTCAACCCATAGAATATGTTTACAATGCCAAATGAAGGCATTATGCTGCCTCTCTTTATAGTAAGACACCCAGAAACATGCAGGACAAGGAGGGATAAGTGAAATCATTTTAATATAATATCAATGTATGAGAAACCACAAAAGAAAGAAAACATTTCCTGGAAAATTCTTTATATGTATATATTGCATTTTATGGTCTTACAGGCAAACTTATGTCAAATACGTGATTTTAAATACTTTAAAACACTGATTTGAAGAGAACAACAAATTGATTTATCTCTTTTTGTAGAGACACGGGAGTGTGATTTCTTTTTCCTCCTTTGCTATAGTTTGGTGTTCTTCAGGAAGAATACTCATATTCTTCAGCACTGCGGCGTCCAAAATCCATCCAGCCCATGTAGTCTCTGTCATTTATCCTGTGAGTAGGATCAAAGCTCTGTACCCTGTTTCCCATAATTGAGAATCTTCCAGTGGAACCTAAGGAAAAAGCGTTTGGGAGAGCAGAGAATAAGAGGACACATTTCCCAGGTTCAGCCGTGTTCTGATCTGGCTTGTGCTCATTAGCAGATGTCTGCAGTAGCTGATTTGGACCTAATACAGGCCATGTAGCACTACTGTCATGTCACTGGGGGAAACATCAATAGAAACCTTATAGGTAATGTGCTGGATGTGGCTTGGATATTTTCAGTGCAAAATAAACAGATCTTTTTCTACCTCCTGCTCCAAGAACATTCTGCTCCTGTCTGACAGGAAGGAATATAGATAGATTTTCCTTTTTCCTTCTTATTTTACTAGACAGAGAGAGTTCAAACTATTTCTCACTATTCGTATGAACTCCCATGGGGTTTGCTGGCTCATATTGAGAGAGCTGCTCTATGTGCAAAATAACCACAGCCCAACGTTGCTTAAAAAGACATAAACATAAGTACAGGAGCTCTTACAGTGCAGATTTGGTAACAAGTAGGGTAGAGTTATGAATCGTAGGTTTTGTGGAAAAGTGGGAATAGTCCTGAAATTGAGAAAGTTTTGTCTGGAATTCACAGTTAGTGATACCTATTGCTGAAATTATGCAGGGATTTTTACTATGTCGGGGATTTTTCACTGCTTATCCAAAGCCTTCATAATTCTTTTCACAGCAGAGTTGGATGCTGATTTCTGATTTTGCCTTATCCTTTCTGTACGCCTTCCTTAAGGCTTCAAAGAGGCACCAATTATTTGCAAGGAGAATTTATGCTTTAAAAAATGGGCTGCAATCCTCTGTTTTCACAGTATCACATAATGTAACTAAAAATTACAGGGAAAGGTAAATTACTTCTCTCTGTACTCCCTGAAAACAGACAAAATTGATATATAACAATAATTAGATGGAGTTAAGCTTTGAGTGAGGAAGGAGCAGATTTAATATATTAGTATTCAATGCAGACTGAGGCTTGAGGAATACTTCAAAAAGGAAAAGGAGCCCAAATTAAATCCCATATATCCAAATCCACACAATTGCTTTGCTTTCAGTTTCTTGTGTTTTGAAGAAACCTCTGTTGACTCTGTGCTTTTATAACTCAAGGTCTTCCTCATGTAATGCTTTATAATGAGCATGACCCAGTAAAACAAAAAGCAACTGCATTGCTTTCTTAGTGGTTGCAGGGAGTTGAAGGTACACACAAACATAAACAAGCCATGTTTAAGACATTTACCTAGAACAGAATGACAAAATAATTAATTTTCCCTCGAATAGAATGTCTATCATTAAATGCTCAAGCCCCGTGAAGTTCACATTCATAATTTAAAAAGTGCAGTTAAGGTAATGGCCATGACTCCTTAGCACAATAACCAGGCAGGGCTCAGGCAGGGCAGAGCCATCACTCACATGTTGGTGCTTAGGAGCCCTCTGAGCCTGCCATGACCTGAGGGCTGCAAAGGCTCCCCTGGTACCACAACTCCCTGGCTGGTCAAGGGCTCCTAAGAGGACATTAAACGTGCTTGTCACCGGCTTGAGAGCTACAGCATTTCTTCTACACAGTGCCAGATTCAAGCTGAAAGCCTGCTGATGAACATAATTGAAAGCCTGGGTCACAGATTTCCCAACAGCATCTTAATTGCCTTTCCTCAACCCACTAGAGATGTCCTGTGGGTATTGCAGAATCAGTGTATGACAAACATACTCAAAATTGTAGCAGTTCAGCTACAGGGCTGCCATAAATCCCTAAGCCCTTGAGAGAACTTAGCTCTCGCATTGTTTTAACTAGAAATACTTTACAAAATCAGCCTTTCTATTAATCACGAGGGCAAATGCCACTACTGGTGACTGCTAACACTAACAAAAGCTCAGACTCTCTTTCCCCCTAGATGGAATTTTCTAGTGATTATTATGGTTTAGACAGGTGACTAATACAGTAGATGTAAGCGTTCTGCAGAGATTTCTGAAGTATGCCCAGAATCTTCACATTAAATGAGAATATAAGGTTTTGATGTGAACACTGTATGTATGTTATAAATTAAGTAAATACTGTTTTTCCTGTGAATTTTCTCTCCTGTAAACAGCAACTGCATCTACAAACTAGAGTCCAACTAGCCTAGTCACATCACAAGAGTCTCATCATCTGCTTCCAGACCCTTTTTAGAGTTAATTATATATGTCAGTAATGCATATGCAGGAAATTATCTCTCATATTAATATTTACAGAAAAAGACATCTTCAAAGGGCTTTTTTTCTCTTGATCTGGTTAATCTATTTGGAAATGTCAGTCACATATTTAAGAGAATATAATGGATACATGAACTAGAATGAGGAGTTCAGTTTCCATGTAGGTGGGCAACAATGACTAGGCTGGGGAAAAGTAAAGAGGATTCTGCTTTGCAGGCTCCTGCAGTAATATTCTTATTCAATAAGAGCCTTAAGTGTAGCATTGAATTGTGGAATTTCATATCTGAATTATCTTTCCATTAAATTGCATGAACAGCTAGAAGAAGTTCCTTAATGGATATAGTGCAAATTGCTAACATGAGATGAAATCTTTCAGGCACTATTGAAAGTGTTTGTTTTTTCTGTTGTTTTTAATTTGGCTGTGTTCTGAGTGCACAGAGGAGTGTGTATGGCTGCATGTGTAAGGCACAAAAACCAGACGTGGCATCTCTTAATTGCAGACCACCATCACAGATAAGCATAGGACTTTGCCTAGCAAAGAGGTCAACAGAGAAGCTGTCAAGAGGGGAGGGTTAAATGATCTGCATTACGTGGAGAAAGCTCTTACTTATATAAAGTGAACTTTATCCTAAGCACAATCTGGGGCTGGGTGTGAATTAATTTCTCAGTATCTGTATGTCCAGGTAATCCTAAGCCTAATTACTGGCTTCTCTTGAAACCCTCTTTCCTTGTTAGATGTCTTTTCTGTGTAGAACAGGGCAATGGTTGGAGAGAAGCTTTCATGAGTAAACTAAACTTCTCTAGTGGCTCTCGCTGAGGCTGGCAGACAAAAGGCCACAGCAATTAGGCTGTCCATGGTGTCACTCTATTGAGATACAGAGCAGTACAGAAATGAGACAGCTCAAAAGGGAAAATGTTTTCTTGGGGAAGTTTTAGTGATCAATGATTTTGAGCCATCATTTTTACTGGTAGCACCAATGGCATGCTTTTCGCCTTTTATTTCGTAAAATATATCCTGTAGGGTGTCAATAGGGATAGCTTTACTCTTTCTCTTATGTAATACAAACGTTTCCTCAAGTGACTAATAAATCTCATTATAAGAATACCCTGTAATCCCATTGCTCTACTGATTCTTCATGTCCTTGTTACACAGTGCCATGGAGGTTTTAGATAACTGCAAGATTGTGTTCCCAGGTTGCTCAAGACAAAAAAACCTACCAGGAAGCAACGTGTGTTGAAGCAAATATGCTTTTACATCTCACTGTTTTTAATTATTGCACTAATAAATATGAATTCTGTGTTTTGAAAGCTTTCATACTATTGTTAAGTTCCTTTGGGAACAAATATACAAAAAATCCAATACTCAGAATATTTCCCGGTAAAGAAATTTCTGACTGAGGTAAGGCTAGCCATTTGGTCTACATTTACCCTCAGAAAAGTTTTCCTGCTCTTCTAACTTTAAAAGAGGGAAAGAGGGAGGATTTTACCTAAATGAAAAAAACTTTAAAGAAAATGTAATTGCTTTATCTGAGATATAACGTACTGAAAATACCACCAAAATAATAAGGCAATGGAAATAATTAAAAATAAAAGCTGGACTATAACCTAAGAGGTAGGTGACGTTTTCTCCAGTTATCTTTATATGACTCTCAGTCAGAGTCTGCTACACAGAAATCGGTTTTTTGGGAGGGGTTTGGGAGAGAGCATTTGGAATGCAGTCTACTTCAGGCATAACCAGGCAAAATCTAAATCCTATCTTCTCTAGGAATTCATGTTAGATGATGACAGGGTTATCTCAACTCCTAGGAACACCTGCAGGAAATCCCAGCGGCACAGAAGCAGGCTGCAACCAAGTACCTTTTCTGGCTTGCTGGAGGTACTTGGCCAGCAAGGCGCCGATGTTGGCTCTTTGGTCGCTGCTGGCATCCAGCCGCGGCAGGGATTTCAGGGGCCCGGTAGAGGACGGGGCACGGGAGTGCCGCTGATGTTCTGTCGGGCTCTGCTCCAGCTCAGCAGGCAGAGGATTCCCATCGTGCGAGCCCAGGGGTTGCTGTCCGAAGGAGCTCACCGAGAGCACGGCAAGGAACATGCAGATGCATAGCCCGCTGTACATTGCTGGGGAGAAAAAGGACAGTGGGCTCTTACATCACCAGATCTACTACATTTTGTGCAGTTCCTAACCCCACCTTCCATTGGGGATGCTGGCTTCTGAGCAAACCAGGCTTATGTAGGTTTTTTGGTTTGTTGTTTTTTTTTTTTTAATTTATTTTTAATTTTTTTTAATGTACGTAACTGCGGGACCTGTCTTAATTTGGAAAACACGTATGTAAGTAGCTAAATATCCTTGCTAAAGAGGAAGGTAGAGGTAATTAATTTTGTTTCTTCCAGCCTAGTATGTGCTGTATCTCCCTGATCTACTAAATTCTTATTTGCTTTTCTTTCTTTGGAAGCTGTATTTCATAAAAATTTAAGGGACTCGAATCCACCTCTGTGAAAAAAAATATGATTCCAACATTTCAGTATTTAAACCCTGCTATTATCACTCAGTTTTGACCAGTTCTATGAGGAGCCTTTATTCTACCAACCTTCATTGATTTGAACTTTAATGTTCAAGAGGTTTCATCTCATCATACACAAAAAGGAAAAAAACAACAACAAAAACAAAAACACCAAAAAAAAACAAAAAACCCCACAAAAAAACAAGCAAACAAACAAACAAACAAAAAAACAAAAACAAAAAAACTTGCCCCAGTGATAGAAAAACCAAAATGTAATACTCCTGCCCCAAAGCATTTGATCCGTATTTGATCGAATAGCTGGGGTGATAAAAGCTGTATAGTTAAAAGCTGTAAGAAATAAAATGCAATTTAATAATCTTCATATTAAAGAGAGGATTTAGATTTCTACTGCTTCCTTAAATGTGTACAAAGCAAAACAACGCTGGTTTACCAAATAGTTTTATCACGTAAGCTCAAATGGTATTTTTTCCTGGAAACAGAGAAATCACTCTCAATTCTTAGAAGAAACAAGACTTCATGCTATGGGGGTAATTTTCACTTAAAAACACATTGATTGTCTCAGCTACGTGAGATTTTTTTAACTGCTTCAGTTCTGCTTCTTTAACAGTACACTTAACCTTTAAATTTTAAACGGGGATAAAATTATTTGCCCAACACATACGGATCAAAATAATTCACAGTATATAAAGCACGAGCGTTTTACAATACACTCAGGAGATGGGTGAAGAAGGTCGAAATGTCACTCTGACGTGGTTATTAGTGATAATCTGGGTTTGGGTACTCAGAAACCGAAGGTGCATTGCACCCTTTCAGCTGTCCCGAGTCCTGTATTTTTTACACACATACATGTGAATATATATATATATATATATATATATATATATACACGCACATCTAAGTACTCATGTCGTTGCTACGGTCTCAAAGCCGACATCTCCCACTGCTGGCCGGTTCTCTTCCCAACTTCCTAGCGATGGGAATCCCCGCTCGCCGCACCCCGCGCCGGGGTCCGCCGGCTGCCCGCGCTCGTCGGGAGCTGCCGGAATTCTTCTTCCCCGCCGGGAAGCGTTCCCTCCGGCACAGAGCGGGATGCCCTCCGAGCCGCCGCACAGGAAAGCGCCAGGCATCCCCACTGCCCCACCCTCAGGAGCGGTACCGTCAGAAGAAGCGCTCCCTACCTTTCCGCTGCGCTTTTCCAAGGTCCCACTCGAGTTGGGAGCAGTGAGTCCCGTGTGTGTGTCCAAGCAGGGAAGTCGGGGGAGACTCAGCCTCGACCCCTTAAATAGCGGCGGGCAGCGCGGCGGTGTTTGCACATCTCTGACGCAGCCGGGGCCCCCGCCCGCTCAGCCCGGGGGGGAACCGGCACCGGGGGTGTGTGCGCTCCGCGGGGCGAGCGGGGCTCCTTCCCCACCCTCCTTCCCTGCCCCAAGGGTAGGGTCCTGCGCTGGGTGCGGAGGAGTGCGGGCTCCGCGGGGCTGGCCCTGCCCCACGGGCCGGCCCCCGGCGGGCGCTTCCGGCTCTCTCCGGAGGAAAGCGCTCGGCTGGGCACGAAGGAGCTGGAAACCCCGGCTGGCTTGCAGCTGGGCAATTGAAATGCTCCTGGCCGGGGATATGCCCACAGCTCCCACAGGTGGGGCTCGTGCCTTCAGCACCGGCAGCTCTGGCCGTCGGGAGTAGCCCGCAGGCGGGAGAGCCCGCCCTGGCAGCGCTTACCAGCGGTGGCAGGTGCGGGGTCTGGGGTGTTGGGTTCCATTCTCTGCTGCTCCTGTGACCTGAGCCGGGGGGCACAAATGCTTTCATCCTCCCCTTCCTCTCACAGGCTCTCCCGAACGCTCGGGAAGACGGGACACTCATTTTATTTAATAAGCAAAGCAATGTATAAAGCCATAGACGATCCCGGCAGAAAGCCGTGGATGGAGATGCCGTCGGCCTGAGTTCTCCCTTACTGACCACAGAACTACCAGAGTCTCTCCTAGCCGCTGCAGGGACCGCTGTTCCCTCCCGAGCCTTCGGCCGGGCCGGTGCTGCCCTGAGACGGTGCTCTCCAGGGCATCCGCAGCAGCCTCGGACACTCTCCCGCCCTCCTGCCTCCTGCTTTTCGGGGGATGGAGGAAGTGCTCTCAAGCTTGGGCTGCCCGGGCTGCCACGCCGAGGCCGCAGAGGGAAGCAGAGCCGGCTGAGGCAGCCGTGCGGTACCACCAGAACCTCTCGCAGCTCATCCATCCCCTGGGAGCAGCCGCTTCTCGGACCCGGCGCTGGGCTCAGGCGTCATTGTGAGGAATCTGTGCCTTAAAGTTTACAATTTGGAGGCAAGCTAGCGGGCGGGTTGCCTTTCCCTTTCCGGGAAGCGAGTCGGGCAGCCCCGAGACACCGAGGTTCCGCTGGGAGCCGCTTGTGCTGCGCGGATCGTGCGGGGATGCGGAGCCCCGGCCGGGCCATGCCCCAGCGGCAGCTGAGAGGGCTCCAGCCCGCCAAGGCAAGGCACGGCGGGGCGTGTGTGCTCCTCACCTCTTAACCCAGGGCTCCTGGGGGGGGACTGCGCCACTTCCCCGTCCTTGCAGCAGCGCCGGTCCCGCCTCACATCGTCCCGCGCATCCTCCGCGCCCTTCCCGCCGCGGCCCGCAGAGGCCCTCGCTCACCCCGGGAAATCCAGCGGCACCAGGGACGGAGACCCACGGAAAAGTCAGGAAATGCCGCGGCAGGACGGTGCCACGTGGCGGGCGAGTGGGGAAAAGCCGACCAGCCGACACCAGGTCCGCGCGGGGAGCCCTGGCTGCCGATGCCCAGCGGTGCCCGAGCGGAGGCGCCGGTGTTGATGGAGCGGGACGGGCGGGAGCGGGGTGCCGTGGCTCCCGTGTCCCGTCACCCTGATGGTGCGAGGCTCGGGGATGGCGGAGATGGCGATGGACCAGCTCTCCCACCGCCTCCCAGCTGCTGACAGGATATTGCCGAGTGGGAATCGACACCTGAGCTACGGCTGCCTTTCATCTCCCACATCGGCACTGGCATCCGGCAGAGTCGCCATCTCGAAGTGCTTAAAGAAAAAGCCAATCAAAACCTGCTTTAAAAAGGGAGATGTTAGTCAAAGTGGATTGCCAGGGAAAGGAACAGCCCTGAAATTATTCCAGCAGTACCTGTGCAGTGGCTCTGTCTCTGGAAAAAATTCTGTAATACTTCAGATAATTCAATTTCACTACTTTGGCTCAGTGGGAAAAATACTCACTGCTATTAGACAATTAAATAGTTGACTCTGAATTGAACTGTAGGTGTCTGGGAAGAGTATCACAGTCTTTCTGGGAAGGTACAATAACAATTCTGGTAGAGTCATATCAAGCCCTTGTGAAACCCACTGTAGATAATGAGTTCCCAAGGGACCAGCTCAAAGCTTAAGAGAAGAGAAAGAGAGAGCACTTGCTAATATATGCTCATGTATAATTCATATCAGACGGATATAAAAATGCGGGCATTTAAGTCTGACATATTAGCCTGGTTGAACAAATATGCACTACATTTACCTTGAGCTGATTTGGAATATCAGTTCACTTATAACTGTATCTGGGATTGGACAAATGGAGTGAGAGTGTATGTGTGTGCACATGTGTGACAACCAAACTCCCTAGATGTGCTCACGAACAGACAGAAAGGCAATGCCATATGAAATGGAATTAAAAAAACAGAATGATATCAAGTTATTAAAGTCAGCAGTTCTGCACTATCTATAACCTGGGTAATTGACTTTTGAACACTGAGTTTTCCTAATTGAATTCCTTAATATATGTATATACAGTCCTTGGTGATTATTTTCTGACTTACACATTTTTTCTTCAGAGAAAGTTTGAAGTTGTAGGAAAGTTTCAGTCCTTGGTAAATAAATGCTAATTAACGGCATTTTACAATAGTTTTGAGCAGAGATAGACCAGAAAGCCTGCTTGGCATGAGCAAATATGACAGCAGGATTCTGAGGTGAGCTGCCTGCAGAAACACAGACTATGTAATAGTTTTCTTATTGATGTGGCACAAAAGGAAAGAATTAGGATTTAACTTGCAATGGCCTCTAGGTTCCAGGTCCAGTGTTTTTGTCAGATGCTGGACCTAGGTGTGCTTCATGGACTGGAGAGTGTCAGCCACAGGAGGGCCTTGTGCCACCATCACGGGTGGGGTGAGACAGAGGCTGCCCTAACACAAGACTTCAGCCTTAGATCACCAGGAAGGAAAGTGCTTTTACTGCACCAGAGCTTGAGTGATATTGCAAGAATCCAAGTACATATGCAAAACAAATTTAAACCTAAAGTGAACCCTGCAATGCAGTAAATGCTAATACAGATGCATCCCTGAGGAGGAAGCTGAAAGATGCCATAGTTTACATACTGTAAGCTTTTAAAATTTGTGTTCTGGCAAGAGTCTGTAAAAAGATTTGAGTTTCTCTAACCTTTCCCCCTGACAATCAAGGCACCTAGTTGCTTTCTCTATTTATCTGCCAAAGCTTTTCTTCTGTTTAGCTGAGGTGGCAAAATAGTGCATATGGTTAAGGATACATTTTGTGCTGTGCCAGCACAAAGCTGGGAGTTTTGGAGCAAGAAGGCAGCATGGGAACAGGGGGATGGAGAGATTTCCTTATGTCTGTCCTGCAATGGGGATGGCTGGCACCAATAGAGCACAAGACATGGTGCTCATGTCCCCGTCCCTCTGCTGAGAGCTGGAGCAGAGCCTGCCTGTGAGTGTCAGAGTGGCAGCAAACTTGGAGATGCAGCCTTAGGAGATATCCTGTGCGACTAGGTGGCTTCATGTCCAGGTGCCTCACAAGAAATACATTCTTTTGTTTCTAAGTATTGCATTTTTGTTCTGATTATTACTATGCAGAGTTTTTTTTACTTCCACTTGGACCCTGACACTTATAGGTAATCTTCTATGCTATGTTCAGTCAAATTAATTTTTTTCTTTTTTTTTAATGTGAGGATGATAGAGTGTCATTCTGGAGAATTACAATTAGAATAATTGGCAGAGGATAGCAGGGAAGGAAATGGTATGGTTTTCTGGAATTAACAGATGAATTAATGAATACATTATTGGGACCAATTGCATGAATTGTAGGTGTAAAATAGAGAATGTATTTTAAGACAGCACACCGTTCTGCTATTTTTGTAGATGTTGATTCAGACGTTAAAGTTTTGGTATTTTGTTTTTCGAAATATTTTTAATTTTAATTCAGTAATTTCTATGTAAATGCTTTCATGGTAGTCTCTTTTCTCCCTCTTGAGAGGAATGTAAACTCTGCTTAGAGCCAACCCAAAAACTAAGTGAAAAATTTTGATTTTGGGCAGGTGACCAGCAGTAAGGGATCTGGGTCCTCTGCCTGAAGAATTCTGACCTCTTTTCACAGCACAGTGCCTGAAACTAATATATTAGTCTCTGACTAATATATCTAAAGAAGGGTCCCATGGAATCAAATCAGCAGAGCTGGTGCTGAGGATGTTTGAACACTCACAGACTGCTCTGCAATGGAAACAAAAGAGCATCAAGTAAGAATAATGATAGTAAAATAAACTGGCTTGGGTTGGGAGAGAGTTTGGAGATCATCTAGTTCCAACTCCCCTGCCGTGGGCAAGGACACCTCCCACTAGAGCAGGTTGCTCAGAGCCCCATCCAGCCTGGCCTTGAACACCTTGAGGGCTGGGCCAGTCACAGCCTCTCTGGGCAACCTGTGCCAGTCCTCACCAGCCTCTCAGTAAAGAAGTCTGTTTCAAAACTGTACTCCTGGTGTGAACTATGTGCACTAATGCAAATTCATGGATTGTAATTAGAATTACCCACTATCCTGCAGCTGTGTGAAGTGAGAAAATAAGAGGAAAAATCCCTCTTCCCCCAAGAGAAGGATTGGATTTTTTAGAAAATCAGATTTTAACCTGTGTCCCATGAAATGTAGGCTCCCTATAGATCAACTGGAAAACTTAATTGTGTGATGTCTTCAAATTTTGTTCCCTGTAGTTTCCAGAAGAGATGGAGAAGTGAAACAGAAAAAACCCAGTCACTTTCTATGAGACCACCCAATCCTAAATCACTTGCTTTTTTACATTTTTTCTGTGTTTGCTTGTTTTCCTCTCTGAAAGACCAAACTGATTTTCTGTGGGAACTTGCTATATATATCTTCCAAACTGACCACAGTATAGGGGCAAGCTGAAAACTGGAAACAGAAATGAATGTGCTAGAAAAATAACAAAGACGTGAATTGCCTGTTGGTGGCAAATTCTC